AATGTCAAGCTCCATGATTTGACATAACTTTTGGGGTTATGTCGTAATTCTTCCCTATTTTAGGTCTTTTTTTATTAGTGGCAATTGAACAATACGGATATTTTTTTGTATGACGTATGACGTCACAGGTGGTATGCGCAAACTTAACGAAATTGGAGCCGCTATCGATCATACCTTGTTTTCTTTGTACCATGCATGGCCATCACTAGACGTTTAAAGTCATAGGCTACTGGTTATAATCAAGAAAAATATACGCTTTAAAACTAAATCTTAAATAACTAAAAACAATTTATTTTAGGTATAGGAACATGTATAGCCAAAAAGTAACAAATTGAAAACTAGTCTTAGTCTTACTAGTCAAATAAAAAAAGTGGGTTTCCATTTGAAAAAAATTATTTATGATAATTTTTTAATCGCTCATTTCCATGACAGCTGCGGCCATTATTATATGACATTCGAATAATTTCATTTTCGAAATAGATAGCCACATGTCTTCTTTTTATGTCACAGTGACTGTGGTAATCACTAAATTTGACTTTTAGAGCGCATGCACACACACCGGCAAAATCGGTGCCGGTGTCGGAGCTGAAGTCGATTGCAATATAAATAAATTAGCCTCTTCACATATACTCCGATCCGGTAAAATAGGCATGGACCGGCAAATGCAATAGAATTAAATGCAACTGTTGGAACGTGTGCAAAGCCGGCGCCGTTTCCGGCACCGATTTTGCCGGTGTGTGCAAGGGCTCTTAGGCTATACACATATTTTTGACAAGCAGTTTTTTTCGTTCAAAAATTTTAAATATTTTTTTTCTCAAAAACGGTTAATGTTCGGTATAGAGTGTTTAATATCAAAATTCATGAAATATTACAGAGAATTTAAATATGTAATAAAAAATGGGGGTACCCATTTAAAATAAGAAAGTTGCTGTTAACTTCCGGTATTTCCGGAAGTGCCGCCATATTGAAAATATTTTTAATCGATAGATCTCGTTGTAAAACAATGATATGCAAAAAATCTCCGATCTAGGTATTGTAGTTCTCGAGAAACTTCTAATGCACTCTCAGCCTGGGACACACTGTATACCCATTGAGAAAAGATTTCGTCGGAGAACCGCCTTGTAAAATTCGATTATTCACCTAACCGAAATTGAACTGTCGGCATTGTGCTGTATGTTCCATGTACAATTCTGACTATGGTACTGTTGTGCAGTCTTTGTAGGGTGAGATAAATATGATAACAAAAATTAATTATTAATAATTAAATTATTGTTGTTAATATTTATTATAGTACGTTAATTTAAGAAATTAAACATACTTGCGTATACGTATACGGGAGGCAAAACATCAGGCATTTACCCAAATTTCAATATAGGGTGGCGCACCTCATTCACCTCGGTTTATTATACGAAAACGGAAAGATGTAGAAACAAAATATTTCATGGGTACCTATATGTGGGAGGGCAATGTACATAATTTAAAATTATTTTGAAATGTACAGGGTGTGTCAGAACTAAGATCCATACCAAAGTTATATTTTTTCTTATGGGACACACACACGGTATTTTATTTCATTTATGGATTCTTGGGCATAAAATAAGGTATTTATTATAACGGTTTAATATGTTTAAATGCTTTGGTTTTTGAGATATTTAAAGATATTTAAATGTACTTGCTATAATATAAAAATTTATCAACACCATGTACATTACTTTTCAAAATTAATTCTTGTGCTGACTTTCAAGCCAGAGAAATAAATCTTACTAAAAAAATTGATTGCTTCTTTAAATTTATACAGGGGTATCAAAAATTGCTGGTCTATTTTAAATATTTATTTTACATAAAAACTTCGTTATATCAAATACAGTACTATGTATTTTTCTGAATAAGTCGAAGCAGATTTAAATGATCTTTCAAACTATATTAGGGTTTCCTATACCTATCTGGCTCAGACTTTGAATAAAAAACGATTTTTCAATAAAATTGGCTGGTGTCAAAAATCAAAATGGCTGGTGTCGCAATAACAATTTTCTAGTGACACCTAGTAGATATTTTCAAAATCGACACTAGTTTATGGACTTTATTTAAATTTATGACGGGTTATTTTTATTTAATTTACCTACAATAAGTATTTATTATTTCTTCTAGTAGGTAAATTAAATAAAAGTAAATTGTTATAAATTTAAATAAAGTTTATAAAACTAATGTCGATTTTGAAAATAGCTCCTAAACTGTCACTAGCAAATTGCCATGGCGACACCAGCCATCTTGATTGCCATTTTATTGAAAAATCGCTTTTTATTCAAAATCTGAGCCAGATAGATATAGGAAACCCTAATATAGTTTGAAAGAGCATTTAGATCTGCTTCGACGAAAATACATAGTGCTGTATTTGAAATAACGAAGTTTTTATGTAAAATAAATATTTAAAATAGACCAGCAAGTTTTAATACCCCTTTATACATTTATCTGCACGACAGAGTTTCCAGACAGTCAATCGTCACAACCGACAGAGTTTCCAGACGTCGAAACACGGTTTCGTAGCTGATGGGCGACACTGGATAAAATCTGTTTTTAAATAATTGGGTATTTTTTAATTTGCTTATGGATGTTTTGGATACTATTATACTTACTGGTGGAAACACTGTCAGTACTGACAGAAAATTTAAATTTGGTGCAGAATGCTTTAGGATATCCACTCAATGCAGATGTTCTAATTATATTTAGGTCAAAGTTGAGAGTTTAAACAAGTAATAAGTATGCTAAAAAAAGGTTAAAGTGTAAATATAATATTATAAAGTTATTAATGGCATTACATTAGTTTGGAGTATAGATTGCAAAAGACGTGTCTATAGTTAATATATTTATGGTATAAAGAGTTCTGTGATCCGATACCTTATTTTTTCTCGAATGCCACAATATAATGAAGGCATTATTGCACGTGGCATGGCTAATTTGACACTTCAGACGTGCGTGTGTGAAAAATTCGCCATAACTAAAGCTCGGTTTAGATTATACCAACACTGCGAGAGCCTGAATAATATACTGAAACAAAGGGCTTTTGTTTTCATGGTAAATGATAAGTACTTTGAATTTTTGTAAAATGATTTTTCTAAAACCTTCGGTATACTTCAATGTAAGTATCAATAAATGATATAAAGCGGTTATGAACTTTTCTGTCACTGTTAACTTAAACGTTTTTATTATTATTATTTAATTATTAATAATAGCGATTTCTTATGGTAGTAAGATTATTCAAATATTATTAGAAAATTACAATCAGTTTTCTACAAAATGTCTTCGTATTGTAATTTTATTGATTCATAATCAATAAAAGGAAGTAAAAATTAAAAAGAATTTTTAGTTTAAGAGATGTATCTCTAAGAATTATTTCGTAGTTTTGTGCTTTTATTCTTTTTGTTTTTATAATAGTAGCTACTTCTAATCAATTTGTACTGCTATTTTCTTGATCATTTCTAAGAGATGATGTTGGCTTTACGTTTATTAATTCTGTTTTATAATTAATTTAAAAATATATTTTTATTAATATATTCATTAATAAATCAGCATTAGATAAATATTTAGCATAAAGAACGATATAAATATACGTGTCAAAGTAAATGTTCTGTCGCTAAATCTAATGTCCTTCATTATAATAAAATTTTACTATTCATGTATAACATCTGTTTATATGGCATATTCATTCAAGAAGCAAAAATTAATATCGAGTTTCATCACAGGTAACATAGTAGGTATGTGTTATCTGTGGTTTCATAGAAACCCAAACAATTATTAAGATATTTTAACAGCTTGTTAGGTTTATTTTTCATTTTAACTTATTTAACTATATTGGTTTTAATTTTCTACTGAATTGAATCTTGTTTTTCTATTATGGTATTATTTACTTACATAGAATTATTGAAATAATTATGTAATTTGATATTATACGTGGTATATATATAGAAGAGTAGTAGAGGTCGAAAATAGGTTACAATAATTACTTAAATAGTATACATATACCGGGTGTTAAAGTGGGCCCCTATAGCTTTTTTTTAGAGGCGCCCCTACAACTTTTTTATTTTTTGCAAATCAAAAACGACATTGGTATGTTAGTATATGACATAAATGAGAATTGATTGACGTTTAGTCGTTCGTAGAGTTGATTTCGTTTATTTCCTGTTTCACCAGAAATAACTACAACTTTTGATTTTTAAATGGTACCTTTACTATTATAGACATGGCCATAAAATAAATGTAACGACAATTTGACTCGAAATACCATGTGGTACCAAATTATTTGTAAAAAATGCTTTTCCAAATATGTTTTGAGACACTCTCATTCCATTAAAAAAAAATAGTTATGATTAAAAATGCGATTTGGGCATCATTGATTGGGCTAATGCGGCCAGGAAAAGAAACAGAAAACATTAGACGATCAGGTCTATTTTTCCAAAGCTCCTTGATTAATAACTAATGGTTTTATTAGTTTTTATTTTTTTTAATGGTTTTATTAGTTTTATTTAATGACTCTCGATTTCAGTTGAAATTTAAAATGCTATTTTTTTTAACTGAAAATATTAAAAATTGACATATGACATATGGGTCATTCTATTCAGAATATTATTTTCTATGAAATAAAGTCAAAAAATACTGAAGGTCCCGTTTAAAAATCAAAAGTTATCGTAATTTTCCGGTGAAACAGAAGGCTACCGAAAATATTTGAATACGTCAATCAACTCCGATTTATATCATATATTAACATACTTAAATTTTGTTATTTTATATGAAAAAAATAACAAAGTTATAAGGATATATGTGTGATAGGATAGCCTATATTTTAAACTAAAAATAAAATTATTCTTTAAATTATCCAGGTAAGAGTACGAGGTTAGCTCTGGGATTGAATAGAGTTGAAGGGGTGAATTATTTTAAAACCTAAATAGTAGTTAGGTCTCTGTTTAATTCCATTACTAACAGAATGCTTTCTCATTCTTTTGCAGAGTGTAAATGCCCAGGGAGTGGTTGGTGGTAGTGACGAGAATATTCAAGAAGTATGCCATTCCTGTCTCAGAGGAGCTTGTAGAGGCATCAACGGTATCTACACTCGTCCAGATCTACCGCCAGGGTACTCATTGGTAGCCCAGGTTCCAGCAGGTGCTTGTGGATTACACGTCCAACAACTCAAACATACCAGAAATTTAATAGGTAAATTAACAATCTTATTACCACTAGTAAATATGTAATATTTAATAATACCATACGATTCGAAAAAAACGGCGTCAAAGTTGGCTGGGAATGACAATCGATGATAATTTCGGCGAGGTAAAACATCATAGGCCTTAAGAAGGTTGCAATTTATTTTTATAGTGAGTAAATATGATTTTAAATGGAGTAGTTTAAAATTCGAGGAGAAATAATTTCTTCGAAATAGATTTGTAAAATGTCTGGAAACGTTCTATCCTTTTTAATCGATGTATAATTAGTGTTAATTTATGACAAATTAGTCGTAGTAGTAGTAAATATCATTTTTTAGTAAATGACGTCTAGAGATTGATCTCGCCAAAATTATCATCGATTGTCATTCTCAGCAGTCTTTGACGCCGTTTTTTCCGATTATATGGTACTAGTATCTAAAGTAATAACACCCGCTTCTACTTAAAAAGACTTCTACCATTATTTTTTACAAAATAAAACTAATTTACCAAAATACACCAAAACACTAAACGCCCGTTTAACTCATATTATCAGATGCGCTTTTACCCTCTACTGAATGAATAACAGTTAGCGAAGTGTTACAGTGTTAAAAATAGTGTTTTGGTGTATTGTTGTGAATTACTGTTTTATTTTGCTGTTGTACCACCAAGAGTTCCAGCCCAAGCTTTATTATACTAACTTTAAAATGATTATAAATTTATTACAAAATAACTTCTCATCTTCAAAATACACACAGATGTAAAAAAACGCAGCGAAAATATTTTCCGTCCAATTTACATTATTATAGTTTTTTTTTTTATTTTAAGCCCTATTTTCATGAGTTTTTTAGAAAATTGCATATAAATATATAAATTTTAATTCGTAAACTCAGTTTTTATAAGCTTTAGTATTTGGCTTATTAAACTTAATCAAAAGCTTGTTTTTTTTTAACCTACGCTACGTTTAAATCACCCTGTGCAATAATTTGGTAGCCAAATATTCATAAAACATTATTTTTCGATCAGAATGCATGTCTTCTGAGCATTTTGTTTTTTGGCACATATCAACACATGCCTTGGTTAATTTTTAAGAGCGAAACGAATTTGCTACCAACAGTTTGCAATTTTTTTAATAATCATTACTTTTTGATGATATTTTTCAATGTGAGGAGGTGGCTTTGGTGACTATCATCGTAATGTCACATTGGCATCGCATTAGAACTCTATATTGAAATTTAAAAAACGTTAAAGAGTAACGATACAGTCTTGGTTTTAATAAACATTATTAACAATACTAGAATTAACGATCTTAATAAAATATAACTGTATTGAATTAGTATAGAAGCAAAGTATGGAAAAAATAACCTTATCTTCTCTGGCTGCTATAATTGTCATGTTAAAATGTATAAAAATAGTTGAACTACCATTTTGATCGTAGAGTGATGAGTGTGTAGCACTCTAGCCACATATTCATAATTTCGGCCATGTTCAACAAGAGCAATGGTTTTTGCAAATTCTTTGACACTAAGTTTTAGAGATGAGCAAAAAATCGCCAACTGCGATTCAGCGAGATTGCGATTTCTTCGATTAGCGAGTTTCAATTTAGGCAACCAATATTACTAGAGCTATTATCGCAGCCATATCGCAGCTATATTACTAGAGCTGCGATTTGCGACCTTGTTGCGATTTGCGATTTTCATTTTTTTTTACAGCGATTGTGATTTTGTAAACTAGGATCGTAATTTAACCTTCTATCTGCGAGTTTCAATTTTTAGGAGTTGCGATTTGAGATTTTGTTTACGTATCTCTACTAAGTACCAATTCAATGGCAGATATACAATTACAACAATAGTCACCAAAGCCATCTTGTCATATTGAAAAATATAATCACTAAGTAATGATAATTGAGAAAAATTACAAATTGTTGGTGGTAAGTTATTGCGCAATGAAAATATTGCACAGGGTGTTTTAAACTTAAGGTAAAGAACAACCCTTTCGATTATTCCTGTATAATAACCCAAATACTAAAGTTTATGAAAAGCTGAGAATTGAAATTTACAAATAAAAGTTGATATAAAGGGACATTAAAACAACTTTGGTTGCACACCGTCATCAATGATACCATGCCATGCGTCGCGTCGTCTTATGGAGTTTGTTGGTGGTCGTATTATGATGTGCAACCAAAGTTATTTAATTTCCCTATATTTATATATACAATTTGCTAAAAAATCATAAAAATAGGATTTAAAATAAAAAACGTATAACAATAACACGTTAAATATGACGAAAAAAATTCCGTTGCGTTTATTTTGCATCTGAGTGTATATTAAGTGACTGAAACTAAAAAAGAAATATGTATCCCTTTTACGAATTCGCCAAAAATTCATCAAAAAATTGTTCTTCTCAATATTTGAATTTTAAACAACTTTTTCCTGTGATCTGTGATGAATTTTCTGTTTAAAGGGAGAATATATAAATCTGGAAAGACATTATGTCCAGGGTTTGAGTTATTCTTATATTGTGAATCTCTTAAAGCGTGATATGTGATATTGATGTTGTTGCTAAAATATTGATGCCTCTAGTTTAGCGTGTATGCCTTTTTGTCTAAAACCGTTCAAAATTTGCTTTCACATTCCATTCCATTTTTTTTGCTATTCCTAAAAAAATTAGGTACGCAATATAATTACCCTTAGCTCTCTCTAGGAGGTCTATATATCAACGATAATTTAGATAATCGTTCGAACTTTGCATAAGTAATAACATGTTAGTTCAAGAATTAAGCCTGAGACGCGATATAAAATGCAAATATGCTCAAGATTTTCTACGCTTGTTTGTTCCTGCTTTCTAGGATTAATGAAGCTATTTTAGCCTGAGATATACGTTTTATTAGTTTTAATTTTATCAAGTCTTGTTGATTTTTGCATTTTTCTTGACTTTTCAGCTTTAAAAGTGTCTAATGGGTCTTACATCCTCAACGGAGATTGGAAATTTAGTCCCAGCAAGTCGTTTGAAGTTGCAGGGACGAGATTTTCTTATATAAGCCAGGATGGGACATCTTTGGAGACAGTAACAGCACCAGGACCCTTACCGTTTCCAGTTGATATAATGGTAATTTTGTTTTCTAAAGTAACTAAAATATCTAAGAGGTAAATTTTAATCTTTATACAGGGTCCGGCAATAATGCGTGGGGCATTTAGAAATTTTGTTCAATTGCAAATCTAAAGTATGTTCTAGGATGTATTTCAGGAAAATATTTTAACTTCTATAGGGTGGCTCAAAAAAGTCTGAGTGGATCGGGATGATGTTTTTTAAATGGAACACCCTGTATATTATTGCATTTTTGGCTTCTTTTCAGATCACTTTACATAATCCTAAGATATGAGTAAATATATTTCGATAGGTTCAGATATACATTTTTCAGCCTTTGTGAAAAAGAATATTAAAAATACAAGAACTGTCCTGAAATCAAAACTATATTACATATTTACTTTAGATGGTCTGTACTTACTTTGCTGTAAATAAGGTACCTGTATATTATTGCATATTATTGCATTTTTGGCTTCTTTTCAGATCACTTTACATAATCCTAAGATATGAGTAAATATATTTCGAGAGGTTCAGATATACATTTTTCAGCCTTTGTGAAAAAAAAAAAAATATTAAAAATACAAGAACTGTCCTGAAATCAAAACTATATTACATATTTACTTTAGATGGTCTGTACTTACTTTGCTGTAAATAAGGTACCTGTATATTATTGCATATTATTGCATTTTTGGCTTCTTTTCAGATCACTTTACATAATCCTAAGATATGAGTAAATATATTTCGAGAGGTTCAGATATACATTTTTCAGCCTTTGTGAAAAAAAAATATTAAAAATACAAGAACTGTCCTGAAATCAAAACTATATTACATATTTACTTTAGATGGTCTGTACTTACTTTGCTGTAAATAAGGTACCTGTATATTATTGCATATTATTGCATTTTTGGCTTCTTTTCAGATCACTTTACATAATCCTAAGATATGAGTAAATATATTTCGAGAGGTTCAGATATACATTTTTCAGCCTTTGTGAAAAAAAAAATATTAAAAATACAAGAACTGTCCTGAAATCAAAACTATATTACATATTTACTTTAGATGGTCTGTACTTACTTTGCTGTAAATGAGGTACCTGTATATTATTGCATATTATTGCATTTTTGGCTTCTTTTCAGATCACTTTACATAATCCTAAGATATGAGTAAATATATTTCGAGAGGTTCAGATATACATTTTTCAGCCTTTGTGAAAAAAAATATTAAAAATACAAGAACTGTCCTGAAATCAAAACTATATTACATATTTACTTTAGATGGTCTGTACTTACTTTGCTGTAAATAAGGTACCTGTATATTATATCATATTATTGCATTTTTGGCTTCTTTTTAGATCACTTTACATAATCCTAAGATATGAGTAAATATATTTCGAGAGGTTCAGATATACATTTTTCAGCCTTTGTGAAAAAAAAATATTAAAAATACAAGAACTGTCCTGAAATCAAAACTATATTACATATTTACTTTAGATGGTCTGTACTTACTTTGCTGTAAATAAGGTACCTGTATATTATATCATATTATTGCATTTTTGGCTTCTTTTCAGATCACTTTACATAATCCTAAGATATGAGTAAATATATTTCGAGAGGTTCAGATATACATTTTTCAGCCTTTGTGAAAAAAAATATTAAAAATACAAGAACTGTCCTGAAATCAAAACTATATTACATATTTACTTTAGATGGTCTGTACTTACTTTGCTGTAAATAAGGTACCTGTATATTATTGCATATTATTGCATTTTTGGCTTCTTTTCAGATCACTTTACATAATCCTAAGATATGAGTAAATATATTTCGAGAGGTTCAGATATACATTTTTCAGCCTTTGTGAAAAAAAAAAAATATTAAAAATACAAGAACTGTCCTGAAATCAAAACTATATTACATATTTACTTTAGATGGTCTGTACTTACTTTGCTGTAAATAAGGTACCTGTATATTATTGCATATTATTGCATTTTTGGCTTCTTTTCAGATCACTTTACATAATCCTAAGATATGAGTAAATATATTTCGAAAGGTTCAGATATACATTTTTTCAGCCTTTGTGAAAAAAAAAATATTAAAAATACAAGAACTGTCCTGAAATCAAAACTATATTACATATTTACTTTAGATGGTCTGTATTTACTTTGCTGTAAATATGGTAATCGTAAATCATACAGGATGTTCAAAATTGTATGCCAAACTTTCTAAAATATAAAATATTTTTTCTTCGTTTTTTTAAATAGAACACCCTATATATTATTTTTTCAATAGATGGAAAATTAAAAAATGAAAATTTTTTGTATTTATAGCATTTCAAAATTTTCAACGGTTTTGCAGATATTCGCTGTTTTATATTTTATATGGTATTTTCCATAGTAAATTTTTATAAAAGCCACCCAATGATTTTTCTCTCGTATTTTACCGTTGAGAGAGCCATATGAAATAATACTGCGTGTATCTGCGAAACCATTAAAAATGTTGAAATACTTTAAATGCAAAAAAAGTTCATTTTTTAATTCTCCATCTAATAAAAAAATAATATACAGGGTGTATCATTAAAAAAAACAAAGGAATATTAGTTTATATTTTAGAAAGTTTGGCGTAGAATTTTGAACTTCCTGTATGATTTAAGATTACGATATTTACACCAAAGTACGTATAGGTCATCTAAATTAAATATCTAATATAGTTTTGATTTCACAGGACAGTTCTTGTATTTGTAATATTTTGTTTAATGAAGGTTGAAAAATATCAAAATATATTTATTCATATCTTAGGATTATGTAAAGTGATCTGAAAGGAAGCCAAAAATGCAATAATATACAGGGTGTTCCGTTTAAAAAAAATTGGCGCCGGGGGCACGTATAGCCGCCCATACTAACATATGTTAATAAAAAGTTGGTAGGCAGCCCTTTTAGTTTCAAAGTAAAGGATTTTTTCCAATTTTGGTCCGCGGTTATTTCCCCTATCCACCACCTGGGGTCGCGTCCGATGGTTTGGAGTTCTTCACACGGATTTTCTCAAAAACAGACTACGGAAACACGGAATATCTGGAAAACTGCGACTTTGACTGATTTTGATGTTATTACAAATTTTGTTGCAAATATTATTCCTAATCTTAAATTGAAAACTGCGTTTCGCTAGCTACTGTGATTTTGGAGTTACGATTTTTTAAAATTTTTAACCCCCTCCCCTACCCTCTTACCAACCCCCCAACCCCACCAAAAACTAATGGCCATTCTCGGGTGCCACAGTATTTTTGTGCCAAATTTGGTTAAAAGCGGTTTAGCGGTTTTTGAGTTATCGTGTTACAGACGGACAGACAGACACCATGAAAATATTTTGTATTTAGGTCATTTATGACCCAAATAACTCATATTGAGTGAAATTAAAAAAACTTTTTTTTGCCGATCTTAATAGCCTACCATACCTGTTGGTATGGTCGGCTAAAAATCATTTCGATCCACTCAAATTTTTTTGAGCCACCCTGTAGAACCGAAAATATTTTCCTGAAATACATCCTGGTACATAGTTTAGGTTTAAACTTAAACAAAAGTTTTTTATTCCAGGAGCTACAGATGCCCGACGCACTATTGCTGGACCCTGTAGAGGAAAGTAGTCTATACTGTATCGGCTCCTAAATCGTACTTCTACATATATGATATTTATAATTGCATTGGCCAAATATCTTATAGTATATTTTGTAAGCCCAATAAGACATCCAGAAGTGGATAATATATTATCTTCTATATAGGGTGCTACAAATTCGAGGTACGAGCATTGGTATCTCGGAAACTACAAACATGGTTAATTACTACCTCGGAAAAGTAATAGATACGAACATGGTTAATTTGTGGTTAGGGCAAATTTGCACCTAAGGATGTTCACGAAGATGCCATCAAAAAAGTTTCAAAAATTTCAAGGTTTGACGAGTCATTTGGAAAAAAAAACGATTTTTTGGGTTGGTTTAAAATCAATTTTATTTTTTCCTGTCGTTACTTTTTAGAAAATCCATAAATTAATTGCACATTCTCATACCCATTTTATCGTGGCTACCTGATAGTATTTTTAGATTTTCAAATTAACTGATAATTATTTGTGAGACATATTGGCCAACTTATTTTGTTTTAATACGGAACTGCAATTTTTTTTTCAAGATTTAAAAGAATTCGGTCTCTTGAGTGCAACGATATTTATATTATTTTTTATTATTTTGTTGTATTTGATTTTCAGTATCCTTTGTTTTACCACACGTTATGTGATATGCCACACTTAATATTTTTATTTTGTTTCGGGCACTTGGAAGCAAATTATTTAAACGAATTTCAAGTATGGCTCTGTTTTTTTTTTCTAGGCATCGATCACTAGAATCATTAGCCATATACAACTCGTTATTGTTAACAATGCAATTACAGGGATCTATCTCAATATCCTCAAGGGGTCCACTCTTACAAGGACAATTCAAAATTTAAAAATCTGCATTGACATTAACATTTCAAGTTGAGTGGACAAAAAGATAAAAAAAAATTAAACACAAAAAATAGAGAAACAAAAAAAGACAAACAACAAGAAAAATAAGTAATTATTTACATCACAGTACAGTGCGTCTATCCGTTCTATGGCTACGGGGTATCTGTGAGAGGGGAAACGATATTCTCTCGATGTTTTTCGTAAAAAAATTAGACGACGCGTCCCATCAATAAAAATTCGACAAATTTGCAAGTAGCCAATAAAATGAGTGGGCGGAGCGATTTGCGGTGACGTACTCGTTAAGTCGACGTATAAAATATATTGCTGTTTATTTAAATGTTTTTTGTCCGCATTCCTTTCATAGACACAGATCCAACAGACGAACTGTATCACAGCTGGATTAGAGTATCACAGGCGAGTTATCACACATCATAAATTTCAAAATATTTTTAATTCTTTCTTTTTCAGTTAAATTTTTACGAATTTCACCACGTATATCGAATCTATTTCTTTCTACCGTATATTGAGGACATTCACATATAATGTGAGTTACTGTCAACTCGACATCACAGACCACAAAACACATACACAAGAAGAAGTGCTAGCGCCTTGCTAAATATTGGAAAGTGAAATTGACGTTTAAATTTGACACTGTTGACAAAGTCTACTGCTACTAGCGACCCTAATATCGCTTGTAGGAACTACGGACTAGATTGTCACGCATGGCGGGAAGTTTAAAAAAATAAAAAAAAAATAGTTCTTCATTTATTTTTAAATATGACATACATAAAAACACAAAAAATACACCATTTTTTAAAAATATGTTTAATATCAATATCAAATATACAACAGAAATTAATTTCACCACAATAAATGAATAAAACTAAAAGAATAATGTTACAAGTAGATCAAGAGACAAAATTAATTATAACAAAACTGAAAAAAATGGCGTCATAGATGGCTTAGAAATGAAGATATATATCATAATTTTGAAAGTAAAATTATATGGGAAATGTCATCGATCATCATTTTTAAGCCAAATGGACGATTATTTCAAACATACAAGCTGAGTTCGTTCATGGTGCTCTGAGAAATCTAGATAAACAAAGAATAATAAATTAAGTATTCCAGGGGAAAAGAGAGGAAAAATCTGTATCGTCTCTGATATCTGTCAGGGTATTGTTGAAAGTGTCATCTTTTTGCTCGAAGTTTTCAGGTAGATCAAAAAAATGACAATTACAACAATACTTTGCCGCAACTTTCACAAATATCAGAGAGAGTACAGGTATTGCCTCTCTTTTCCTCTGGGATGCTTTATATCTGTTGTTCTTTGTTTATCTATATTTCTCAGAGCATAATGCCGAACACGACTACAGTATATAATAATTTCAATATCCTAAGTGGCAAGAAAAAAGATCACCTTTCTGTTTTGTACTATGGTCCCTTTCTTCCGATGGCTCATCTCGTTGATATTTAGGAAGGTATCCATAAAATATATATTTTACTATCGGTCTTAGTATGAAAAAATATAAAATTCAATTTGATTTGATGATCCTTTTCTGTCACCTAAATCAGGAGAATGACAATGAGCATGTTAAGATGAAAAAAAAATATTTTTATCAACACTTGCCTACACGTTAGTCCGAGGAGTTTTATCAAAAACCTATATTTGCCTAAATAATTTATGTATTAAATTTGCAAAGCAAACTGCAGCGTGTAAACAAAAAAAAATAAAATGGCGACAAGTCAACGTCAAGGACCCGACAAGGAGAAAAGTGTTCAAATAACAAATTATGGGTCACCAAAAATTGTTTTTGTCTCCTTTCAACGCACACTTTAGAAAGAAAAAGAGATGAACTGTAATACTGAAAGAACGTCAAGGTTTTATCTGTCACTCTTGTCAATAATTTATCGGTAAGGAAGATTCCTAGAAAATCGCTTGTAGTCAAGTTTTGAACCATTGCCAGTTCTCCCATAAGAAGTGTCATCCACCTGTCACAGACTATGCATATTGGAGGTATTTCTCTTTTAAGCAGATATGCATGAGTCACCGCAGTATGCCCAATACGAACACGATGCACTATAGATTCAGCCGCTCGTCCTAGTGCAAGACGTAAGGATGGGGTTGACGGATCCTGTTTTATTGCGCAAAGCTTTGAAGGTTTACCTGTCCACTCATCCTGCCATTCCCTTTCTGTTCTTTTATGCAGTAGTACTTTAAGATCATATTTACTAATATAAGGGAAATCAATAGTATCTCTTCTAGCAGCTTGCTGAGCAGCTTCATCTGCCATTGTGTTGCCTAGTATCAATTACGGAGTGTGGCTTGGGACCCATACAAATATGAGTTTGTTTCCTTTTTCGATGCACTCTAGAATAAGCGTCTGAATTTTTTGATTCAGAGGATCATGGATAAATATGTCATTAATTATAGACACGATTTTTAAAGAGTCAGAAACAATTAAAACTCTAGATTGATTATATTCCTCATTGATGACATGATGACATAGGATAAGGCTTTCCAGATCCCAAAATGTTCTGTGAAGAAAGCTGATGCTTCATGTCTCAAAGTCTGTTTTTCTTAAATATATGCATCCTAACAATATTGACGAGCTTTAAAATTTAACAATAACGTGTGGTAAAAAATTGAATACGGAAAATCAAATACAATAAAATAATATAAATATAATATAATATAAAAAATCAAATAATTTCCCTGGAAGATGGATTGGAAATGGTTGAGCAGTATAATGGACTGCGAGGTTTCTGGACCTGTCTAAAAGTAATATTCTCCTTTAGGGGGCATTTCTTGACGTCATTGGTAGGATTGAAAGAGTACAAAATTCATTCGGAATTATAAGAAAATCTGTTGAAAGGGCTAAACTTAAAATTGAATAAAAAATAAATTTGTGCATTACAAATGGTGCTGCATTACGGAGGATGCTTTCGAACATGTAGAATATTAGAAACTAGCTTGTAGAAGTTTTATTTATAATAATTACGATTAATATTAAGCATATTATAAGATTGTACACTGAGATTTCAAATTTATAATACAGAAATTAAAAAATAATATTTTTTAAAATACTGACATCCATATTATTTATTTGAAACTTTCAATTGGCTCGATTTTTGTTATTCATTGTTAATTAGCGCTCATCGATATTGTTACGATAAATATAATGAGGCTAACTAATTCAAAAACCAGAGCCGGACTTGAAATTAGTTTAAATATTGTTGTTAACGTGTCCAAAACAAAAAAAAATAAGTGTGGCATATCGTTGAACTCTGCTGATAAAATTAAAAAAATTAAAAAAATTAAAAAAAAATAAGTACCTAGGCCTATGTATTTCAGAAACTGTTAGTTAATTTCAAAATTTAAAAATAGGATTAGATAGTCCTGATAAAGTGGCTATGAGAATACACAATTAGTTTTCCGATTTTCTGAAAAGTAACTAGGTACAGGAAAAAATAAAATTGATTTTCCAAAAAAAAAAAAAAAAAACTAAGCAATCCTTAAATCATTAAAACTTTTTTGATAGCATGTTGGCGAACATCCTAAAGAGCAACTTTGCCCGAATTTACCCATGTTCTTATCTGTTACAGTTTTCGAGATATCTATGCTCGTACCTCGAATTTATAGCACCCTGTATAATACATTACTCCGGTCCTCTGTAGCAGTGCTCTAATATTTTGATGACTTATATAGGTATGATTTGTGATTTTGTATGGCTTGAGGAAATGTAATCGCTTTAGGGTGGCTGCAACGACGTCCCGTAATCCTGCTGTTAAAACATAACCTAAGCTAACCAATTGTTATGTTTTAACAGGATTACGGGACGTCATTGCAGTCACCCTTATTAGAGGAAACCTACGGTAGACCAGTAAGTAGAGTAAATGCTACAAATGGATTTCGGAGGTGTAGTATTTGGTTGTAGTTGTTAGTATAGACATAAATTTTTACACAAATGCTGATTTGAGATAGAAGGTGAAAATTCATGATTATTTTTTCATTACAAAACATAATTTTCATATTATGCGTACTTAAGCAAATGCAGAACTTAGTAATGACTTTTTGAGGTTGAAGCATGTATTCATTCATTTGTTTCTGCGAGAATTTTGTTTTTCGTATTGAATTTATTTTTTTATAATTCTTCTAAAATATTTTCAATTCTCTATAATGCACATTCTCATTTTCTATAATTCACATCTGTAGATTGTTACATACCAAGCTAACCCTGGCATCAAATACGGATATTCCGTACCAGTTGAAGGACCAGCGATAGCTCCGCCTCTTCTACGTCGACCAAGTCCTTCCGAACAACCAACTTTGGATACTAGAAGACTGGACATCGCTCCACCTAGCGTGGCTTTCAACAATCAGAGAGATGACCCCAAACCAGTCACTATTCATCCTGGTCACAGAAGAACTAGGATCAGAAGGAAGTACTTCCATTGGAAGGTGACAGGATTGACGCCTTGTACCAAGTCTTGCGGTGGAGTAAGATTAATACTTACCTTAATATTTTAGAATTATTGCTCTTTCATACAGACACTTTTTTTTCTAAATGGCAGATTTTTACTGCAGATTTGAACAGAATTTGTCGATTAAATATGTTTGCTTGTATATTAACGTACTGACATTTTAAGCGATAAATATTTCAGTACCAAAATTATATTGGACTTGCTACAGAACGGTTACTGCAACTCATCAAATCCCAGTCAATGAAAAACGATGTGCTCATTTAGACCCACCAGCTTTGGCTCCCATTTCTTGTAACGTTGAGCCATGTATCAAAGCTTCCTGGGATGGATTTTGGGGCCAGTGTTCCGTTTCATGTGGAGAAGGAGTCCAACAATTTATTCCACAGTGTAAAAGTGAATTCAACGGTTCGTAGTTTGAATTATATATTTCCCAATTTGGTACTTCTTTTAATGCCTCAAATTTTTAGGTCCTTGCCGTATCATTATTGTCTTTTTCTATAAATTTCTAATACAAACTCAATAATATACTAAGATGCTCTACATAACATATGGTATAATTGTTAAATTTTTTATTTAGGAAAAATAATTGTGGTTAGTGAAGCCCAGTGTCCCAAACCTAAACCCAGCTTAGAATCCCGGGCTTGTCAAGAAAGAGAATGCGAATATTTCAAGGGACTCCAGGACAATGAGTTACCACAATCTATCGACAATCAAGTAGCCAAGAAAGTTGATTGGACAGTAGGTCCATGGTCACAAGTAATTGCTTTAGTTTGTGTGATTTATTCGTGTTACATTAACAAAAATTATGACTTTTAGTGTTCAGCTTCGTGTGGTACTGGTCATCGAGGTCGAACTGTGACATGTCCATCTGGACAGTGTCATCCAGAAGACAGGCCTATCCACGCAGAGTACTGTAACCAGGAACCTTGCGGTAATAAAAGGGCAGTGGATGTCGTCCAATCTCAGTCGAGGATATCAACAATAAGTTCTTCCAGTTTATCTAGTCAAAGCAGTGCTGTAAGTCCGTGGTTGGTCACCGAATGGTCTCACTGTTCAGAACAATGTGGTAGGTTTGGACGTTTTATCAGTTTTAACTAATTCATTTATTTCAACATAGATTGACGTTATATAAAAATATAAAAAAATATTGTTTAGAAAATAGTACGTGATTTTTTTTTCATTTGTTATTAAAAATTAATGAGGTTAGTAAAAGGTCTCAGTTAAATGCAAAATCAGAATACAAATACCCACAATACCTTAACCGCTTCTGTAAAGAAACGATAGTGACCGTCGACTCCTTAGTAGTGGTATTATCATCATCATCATTTTTTTTTTATTTTTAGCCATTTCCAATTATGGTCTAGCCTCGCCATATACTCTCTTTGTAGCTGGGTCCATTGTTTATTGTTGGCTGTAATACGGGCTCAAGTTATCCTGCTAATTTCCTAATATCGGTCCCATCCCAAGGTTTAGGATGGGACCAGGTTGGTTTTCTTCTAAGTCTCTTGGTTCCTCGTGGTAAGCCACAATATATAATGGCTGTGGTAAGTACCAGGCTGTAATTTTTGTCCATCTGTTGTCCGTTCTTCTTGCCAGGTGTCTGCCCATTATCCACTATTTTTTACGGTCTCTTGATTATTCCCAGCATATTTCGTTCCATTGAGCGCTTTGCAGCCAGTTTTTCTTATAATGTCCGTTTTAAGTGTCAGGTTTCGCATGCATAGGTCATGACTGGTAGTACATATTAATCAGATGTTTTCTTATTTAGATAAAGTGGCATTCTAGATTTGAATATAATTGAGTTTCTTCCATAATTACTACATGCTAACTTAATTCTTTTGATAAATGTGATATATATGTATAATAGTATATTGTTTGATTAGGGTAAAGTAAAAGTAATAGTTTTTGCGGCGAGGCTATACGTTTGACATTACAGGCTAGGCACAAAAAGGAACTTTTACTCCCAATAGAGCATGCTATTTTTTTCAAACACAAAATTTAAATAATTTCCAACGTTGTAAATTTTATAACAAGATTTTAAAAAAATACCTTGTAAGTAATTGTATATCGAGAAACTATGGTTACGGGCATGTTACGGGCTCGTTGAATTTGACACTTTATGTCAGTTTAGTAATATATTCAGAGACAACTACGAGACGATCAAGCGCATATGGGAATTAGGCCTAGGCCTGCCGGATCTCTGGCCAGATCAAACTTCTTTGGAAAATTAGCATCTGTAGTGGGAGGGCGCTGTTTCGCAAATTTAAATGACCCGGTACATATTTTACTGCTTTATTTCCGCATCGTTTGGTCACCCTCCCGCTAGTCCCGCTCTACGCGACGCCGCGGCAGCCATTGTTCATATTCTCATATCAAATATCGATTGTCGATTTGATTTTTCATGCGAATTTCAAATTATTTGAGTTGTATTAGCAATATTATGTGTGTTTAAGTGATCACTAATATCCTATATATTGCGCGAATTACCCAGAGGTATCTATTAACCACAATAATTAGTGAATTTCAACGCAATTAGTTAATTTTTATTTGAAGACCAACATGGGAACAAGGCCTATATTTCGCCCAAGAAAAATGTTGTATTGATAGATCTATGGAGGAAATAACACAGATGACTCCAGAATTTAGCCAAAACGCATAATTTTCCAAAAATACTGAAAAGTAAATTACATATAAACATATAAACAATTATAATAAATAATAAAACTGATAAATTTTCTTCTCCGGTGATGGGGCTTCATGACAAAAAGTCAAAGATAATTTCTACTACGAAAATACAATATTCTTTGCCTGAGGCTAGCCAGCTTAACTTGTTTAAAAATGCTATATTAAAAACACATTTGTGAATTTTATTTGTAGATGGACATTTACTGTTTATAAACTTTCGAGTCAGATATTAACTTTCTTTGAGGATCAGCTATATTTTAATAATTGAGGAGTAAGAAAATTAATAATGTTTTGTATTTGTAGACCAAAAATATGACAAGAATCTTTGAAAATATAACACAATGCCTTTTGTAATTATGTTGTTTTGTGATGATAGTAAAATTTGGTTGATATAAAACTGAAACATAACTATTCCTGCTCTATGAATGAACTAATTCAGGTGAGCAGTTAAGCCCTAGGCTCTAGTATATATTTTTTCAAGTTATTTAAAATACAGGGTTGTAAATTAGCTTCATATCTTTCTTCATATCTTCTTCTTTTTCAAGTGTTATATAGTTTCACTTCATGTTTTATATTTTTTTTTTTTTTTTAATACTAAATTTTTAAAATAATATTTTATATGTCAAATAATACCAATGTTTTTTAAAATATGGCCATTTTAAGATTAAACTTACATTTAAAAAATCACAAAATTGTAAATTCACATTTCTTTTTAATTCAGCGTATGTATAAAACTGTCCTCACATTTGATTTATACAAGATCGCTTTAATTTCAAAATATTTATTGATATTTTGCAGCTCCATCAGCACAATAAATGATGTTATATGTTTGTAGAAAAATACAGTATTTTATTTTCTAATGGGACTAATAACAAAATTGAACATTGCAGCATAATCAGGTTTCCCTAGACAAGAGAAATATATGACCATGAAAGTGTATAGAAGATAGGCCTGAAAATAATAATATTCACTGTTAAAATAAATAAAAGTGATTCAAGTTATAAAAGAACTAACCAGTGTAGAAAATTCACTTTCAAAAGAAAACATAAAAATGGTTGTAAGTAAAGAAGCTTATATTCTATTGTTCTTTATATAAATATTTTTTGTTTTATTTATAACATCTAATTTTTATTTAAAAATAAAATATTTCCTATTACTACTTTATTAAATAATTTTTAAGTAATCAGGTCTAATCAATTTTAAAATAGTTAGAAAATAAATTTGTTATATTCAGACGTATATTTTTATATTTTATATTTAATTTAATAGGTAATTGTTTATATTAACTTTTACACATGTATTTATAATCTCTTAGTTATAAGTATTTATAACAAGAAGTGTTGCAGATAGAGGTGATAAGCAATATGTAAAATTTGTAGGTACAGTTAAAGTGGAATGAACTGATATTTTTATAGAAACAGAACAAAACTACTAAAGGAAAACGAGGTGAAGAGCTGTATGACAGATGAATCCGTCACTTGTCTTGTGGAAAACATGCTTTTCTTATGGTTAAGAAGTGGTATATCATCTTCATGTTCTTTCATAATTGAAGCACCATCATTGTGTATCATGTAGAAAAACTGCCGACATTCATAGGTAATCCCAAAGCGTAATATAAAATAATTTACATCCTATATTCCCTATATTTGTAGGAAATGTCGTACAAAATCTGAAATATATAGGGTAAAGGAGCTTCACTGCAACTTCTGATAAGACTATCAGAGAGATAATATACAATCAGAGAGGGTAAAACATAAAGAACAGACAGGATATCTGTTTTTTTTGTCTTCCAATATTGGTTTTCACATATTGGAAAAAATTCATTTATTAATTTACCTTTGTTTTAGTGATTTCAAGATAGTGAAAATTCACACAAGAATATCTATATACTTATTTACCTTATGAGTCTATACCCAACAGAAAATAAAGTGCTATTAGATAGTGGGATAAATTTAAAGGATAATATAATATTAACTCAAAAATTAGGAACTAACAGCGCTTTCAGATTAATACCATCGAAGGTGTAATCTTGCCATAAGGGTTATTCACCTCATTTGACACAGAGTATTGTAGCCAAGATTTTGAGTTTTTCCAGTATAAAGATTTGGGTTTGAAGGACTATTAAGGCTACAATTTTAAGCATTACTTTTACAGGTAAAGAGGCAACAAAGCAATGAGATTTTTTGAATGTCCGGAGTGCGGTAGGCAGATAATATCACGTATCGGGCTTTTCAGTCACAGAAAAGCTCATGAAAGAAAACGCCTTGCGTGACCATCTTCTTTATGTGTGTCGAATACTCGTCAGCGAGTAACGGCTGTATGTATGTATGTATGTATGAAGATATGGAGAAACCAATATCCACTTTATCCATCTTAAAACATCCTTTGGTATTAACTTTTTCAAGTTTGACAATGTTTTCAACTTGACAATTGACATGTTAAGGCACCAGTTTATGGTGCACAGCTCCTTTCAGAACCGTTCTCGAGTAGCCCAGGCTTAAAGATCTGAGGCCCCAGGGGCCATGAATGGAGGACTAACCCCACCCCAGAGCAGACACATACATGGCTATCCTCTGTTCTGTGGTAATACTCTTTAACATAAACCACATAAACTAATTTTACATTAGACATGTAGAATGTAGAATGACTAGGAAGGGGTTAACTCGGTCACCGCGATCCTACAAATCTATTGTGTTCCCCCCTTTCTTCAGTTATAACTTATCATACAGTCCAAGGGCTTTGACAAAAGCCAGTATCTCAGGCGGTTTAATAGAGGGTAGTATACAGGGTGTTCCAGGTTGAGCGTGCATTAGAAGTTTCTAGAAGACTTCTATATCTAGATCGGAAATTGTTTGCACATCATTGTTTTTACAAACAAGATCTATCGATTAAAGCCACCAATATGATGGCACTTTCGGAAATATCGGAAGTTGACAACAACTTTCTTGGCCCACTAAATGGGTGTCCCCATTTTATTACCTCACTAAGTATTTATTGAAAATTCTATGAATATTGATGTTAAGCTTATATCTAACATTAACCGTTTAGAGAAAAAAAAAAAATATTTTTAAGTACGGACAGCTTGTCAAAAAAATTTATATAACCTAAAAGTCAAATTTAGTGATTACCACAGCCACTGTGACATAGAGAGAAGACAAGTGGCTATCTATTTCAAAAAAAATTGAATATGTAAATCAATCCTAATATAATGTCATATAATAATGACGGTAGCTGTCATGGAAATTAGGGACTAAAAAAAGAGGGGGTACAGTTTCCTATATAATAAATACTGCCAACTTAAGAGTTTAAAAAGTGTATTTATAAAAATATATCTCGTATTTTCGCTCTTTAGTGATATTATCTAATAGTTGATATTTTAGTAATATTATTCCGTATGATCGAAAAAAAATAGAGCAAAGTTGACTCGGAAATAATGCTGCTGAACAAAGCGTCAAAAGTATGTTTTATGGCCAGATATTGTTTTACATCTTGACGTTTAAGTCATAGGCTACTTGTTAATATCAAGAAAAAATATACGCTTTTAAGCTGGTGGCGTGACAACAGACTCACGGGCTGTGTGCTTAAGGGCTATCGAGGCCCCTAATGCACTAAGCTATTTCAACATATACTAATCACAGAATAATATGCACTCATATTTTAGGTTAAATAACACATTAACAGAATGGTACATATAGTATTATTTTTAAGACGTATACGACTATAGTATTATATATACAATTAGTATTATACCGGGTGAGTCCAATGACATTTTCAAAAAAAAATTTAAATAAACTTCATTGAGTCCAGTGATTTTGTTGAAATATAATTTTATAAAAAAAAACTTTTTAAAAAATATGTTTATTTTAAACCAATCTTCATTTGTTTGAATTTGATTATGGTTATCAATTTCGTCAAAGAATATTTTTGGGCGAAACATCCTTTTCTCTACAACTTGAGTTGTTTAGTTATTGTACCCCATTGCTTCGCTAGATCAATAGCTTCTGCCATAACTAAATTAAAATCATCACGCATTTTTTTTTATGTTTTCATATAACACCGTGAACAGTTTGGGTGCCTCCTCAATATTTTGCTGTTTGTTTTGCAATAGCTTAACTAAAGTACTAAAAACTTGGGTTTTCAGGCCACTGCTGTTTTTAATGCTGATGCCTCATGCTTCAGGTTCATTAATTTAAATGATTTTTGAAAGAGCTTTTAAAAATCTACATACTTAAAACGAAGAGCTTCTAGCGCATCATGTCTTGATGACCAACAAGTAGGGGTTAGTTTTTAAGCTGTATTTTTTATTTTTGGTAACACTTTGTAAAAGAGCATATCGTTTTATACTATGCCCAAAAAATACATATACACTTTGAATCAAGTCGTAAAAACTTCTTAATTCTTCAATATTTTTAACAGAATCGTTAAGAATTAAATTTAAATTATGAGCTGCGCAATGCACATATGGAGCATAAGATGATACCTTCGATATCGCAGCCTGAACATTTTTATACATCCCGCTCATATTTGCAGCGCTGTCGTAACCTTGTCCACGGAGTATAACAGTATAATTTTTCATGATCATTTTAATGCTACAACTAGCTTAGTTCTATTTCTATTCGATGGTACAGAAATACAGCAAATTTCCTTTTTGTCAAATTTAATGCTCTAATGAAAAATCACATATTTCCAGTTATTTTTATTTTTATTTTGCAAAATACAAAGGAAAACACAGCTACACAATTGGACAAGAACAAGTGTAAAGTAATAAGTTATTTTACGTGCTAGTTAAGTAGTTAAGAAGACATGTGATAGATAAGAACTTAGTTCGGGAGCGCCCGATTCTGCTTAATTCGCTTAATGTGATAGATATGGAAATGCGGCCCGGGCCCGTGTGCTTCGCACACATGGCACATCGATAGTTACGCCACTGGCTTTAAAACTAAATCTTAAATAACTTAAAAACGATTTATTTTGGATTTTTTTTTAAAAAGTTTGTAACTTCAAAAAGTAACAATAAAAGCCTTTCACTAGTGGAAAATAAAAATGGGTTTCCATTTGAAAAAACGATTTATGATAATTTTTTAATCGCTCAATTCTATGACAGCTGCGGCCATTATATATATGACATTCGAACAATTTAATTTTTTTGAAATAGGTAACCAAAATTTTCTCTTTATGGCACAGTGGTTGTGGTAATCACTAAATTTGACGTTTAGAATAAACACATATTTTTTTGACAGGCAGTTTTTTTTTTCAAAAAATTTTAAATATTTTTCCTCAAAACGGTCAATGATAAAAATTAGATATAGCGATGTTTAATATTAAAAGATTTCATAAAATTTACACAGATAATTTAAGTATAATGACAAAAAATAGGTGCCATTTAAAGTAAGAAAGTTGCTGTCAACTTCCGGTATTTCCGGAGAGGTGCCACCTATTAATATTTTTAATCGATAGATCTCGTTATTGAAACTACGATGTCCAAAAAATCTCTAAACTAGATGTTGTGAATCTCTAGAAACTTCATGCACGGTAAGCCCTGGGACACCCTGTATATCGTGTGGCGTGCACCAAAGTTCAAGGCACCAATGGTTCTGGGTGCACTGAGAGATGAAGTGTTCTGGTGTCCAGGAATATCGTCGTGAGAAGCACTGACTATAGTTTGATTACACTACAATGCAAGAAATTATAATATGATCTGTGGTTAACTCAATTTTTATATTTTCATTTTGTTATAATTTCTTTAGTACTACAAACCAAATATTCTTATTTATATCACAAAATTTAGACGAAGAAATAGTTTAGGAGATATGAATATCATCGTTAGAAAGCCAGCTCGATGCCGTTTATTTTTCGATCCTAGAGACCACAAAAGATGGCATAAGATGAATACAGTGAAACTAAACAAAATCAGTTTATTCATAATAAATATTAAAATATAAGTGATTTCATTTGATGATACAATGATACTACTGCTCCATTCATTGTCCAGGCGGCTGCTAGAATCGTCACTGTCAACGCTAAAATTCTTGATTCGTATTCCGTATAATATACAAACCAATTTGTGTAGAATGCAAAACACAGACTCATGATACCTATTCCGTAACCTAAGATTCCCAAGATGTTGTGGACGAACTTGCAGCCTGCTGAGGATAGTGGTATTTCGGGTGATATTTCACTGCTATACCAACAGGGATAGATAAAATTATGCAAATCATGGAGACAAAACCTGTAAATGCAGAATATATATCACATTAATTATCACATAGCGAGCGGGAAAGCGTTTCAATACTGTCGTATTTGTTAATCTTTCATGTTTTATTAAAAAAATATATTAAAGGTAAATCTTTAACAGACACTAATGAAAACTTTCATATTGAAGGTTTTTAATACTTTTTATTACTACCACGCCATTACTAAAAGGTATATTATTTTTATTTTTGAAAAAAGTTTTTTTTTTTTTATAAGAAATAAATTTAGATTGGAAAGCCTGTCAAAATTTTCTTTTGTCATTTTCTTTTTGTCAAAGTCCAGAATCTTCAAAAAGTATAAAATCTTTCAAAATTTAAACCGCCCTCATTGAAAAATACCGAAAAGTGTTTAAAAACCATTCTGAAGAGTAATTATTGCTATCTTATTGAGTTTAATTTAAATTTTACTTATACTCAAACCGGTGATAATTGTGAAAAAAAAAAAAAAAAAAAAAAAAAAATTGTGTTGTGAACTGTGAACTACAAAAACCATTGTGGATCGTGGCATAACGTCGCGTCGGTTTCCTATGTTTCATAGGTATTTCATACATATGTCCTTATACAGGGTGTCTCAGAAATAAGTGCAAGTATTTTTAAGGTGTGGTAGATCTGGTCAAAGAAACATTTTTCCCTCTTTACCGTTTTCGAATAAGTCCAAAAAGTAACCGAGCTATTTTACTTTGAAGATTTAAAAAAAAATGATTTTGCTAAAATTTTGAAATTTTGGATCTTTTCTGGATTTTCTTTCATGTACATTTAGGCTACTACCTATGTTGCCATATTATCAAGAAATTATGTTTTTTAACTTAAAACTAAAAAAATTCCAAAAATGTTTACAAAAAATTCAAAAATTTCAAAATTGTTTTTTCGCAAAAAATACCTCATAGACGTGTTTCTGAGGCCGAAATATACTACCAGTTAAAATACTTGCACTTATTTCTGGGACACCCTGTATAAAATAAAGTTTCTTGTATGCAACACACTGTATTTTATTTATAAAATTAAAAGAAAATATTAATGAATTTGAATAAATGAAGGGTCGGCCGTAACAACGTTGTATATAACAAAAGAAGTGAATGGAATAAATCACGAAAAACGATAAGAGGTCATTTAGGTGATGATCAAACTTCGTATTTAGTATAGTTTACTAAAGTTGCTATAACTATACTGATTATAATTTTTAAAAATACTTGTGCAAATATCCAACTATAGAGGTCATTATTGTGGAAAATGCATGTAACAACGTTGTATGTTCATGTAACTTACAACGTTGTTACACGTAAGTAATGTATATTAAATTAAAGCAAATGATTTTTTAATAAATTTACTTTATTAATAAAGGTTTTAAAGAAAGAACTTACATAACGCAAACATTATTTTCAAAAAACTGGTTTTACAAAATAAAATCTTAGTACTAGATAAATTAGAATATTGCTCTCCAGCATCTCTTGAACGTTTTCTCGCGTTTTGTTTCCAGTTCTCTATATTTAGTTTCCTTTTTTCCCCTATTTAAGTGGGAAATATCCGCGGGTGAAAGTTGCACCGCCCTCTTACTAAGCGCTTAAATGCACGTACAACGTTATTATCGGGAATACAAGGCTGGCACTGACTGAAGGTCGACCTATTGCCAGACATCGGGCAAAAGCCACTGGAACCAGTTGCACCAGCCACATTCAAACAATGCTTATAAAACGTTGTTTTAGGGGCTTAATACATTTCAAGCAAAAATGTTATATACAAACGTTGTTACGGCCGAGCCCCTTCCAAAATATATTTGGCGACATAATTCCGAGGAAAAACCGAAGCTATCCGAAATTAACAACAAGAGCGTTGCTATATCGCCAAATAATTGTTTATTGTCGTATGGGCTTTTCCCTATTTAAACTTTGTTGCATTTATCTATGAAGGAAGTAAGTAAAAATGTCAAAATTGTCATTATTTGTTTTGTCATACGAACCTTCAAAACCAGACTAAATACAAGAAGTTTTATCAATTTTAAGTAAAGCTAGAGATAATGTGAATCTTATAAGGTCTGAAATGTGAACATTGCCTAGTATGACAACATAACATATATTTGACTGTAAATAAAATTATTTTTTTGTTTACCTGTAATTCCATGTGCTGTGTACAAATGATAACCAGGCGTAATATAATGAAAAACTATCGAATCTCCTGATATAATCATTACAGTTCCTACAGATATTAATATGCCGTGCACGGTGTATTTGGCAGTTCGTGATATTTGAGTAGCCCATACTTCATCACTTAGAAATAACATAATGGACTCCGCCATTAGAGGCAGATACTAAAAAAGTAGCATATACTTACATATACATTAGCTTTGTTCGGGTTCTTGTTATTACCGATTGTGAACCGTCCTAGAACTGTGATGCGTATGTGCAGAAGGAAATATGAAGACTTTATTTCATTTGCGCATGCTCTGCAGAGCTATTGTATAGAGGTAAAAAAATATTTTAATTATAAATAAAATTAAATACTAATTCAGAGTTGGCTTGGAAATGAGCATCGCTGTTTATTTCATATGTAAAATATGGTAAATGTCCATGGTTTTCGTCATTTTCAAGCCAAATAAACGATTTTTTTCTACCATACCAAATATTCAGTACCTATAAAAAGAATTTTAATTTTTGTTGTTTATTCTATGTTTAACACCAATAAAGTTTCAATACATAAACGCGGATTTTTCATTCAAGATATTTTGGTCAAGCGTATTATTATTATTTTGGTCAAGCGTATATTACACATTTTAATACGGCAACACTGTCGCTTTCAGTTCCGCACAGTCTTCAATATTCCTTCTCTATCCGAATTAGAGAAAATGAGTGTTTTATGCGTTGGCCGCAGAACGAGTAGAGGCTCCATCGTAGAGCACTTCAGTTGTAATAAGGGGAAATCAAATCAGCCTTGTCAGGAATTTGCGTATTAGGTTGCGTATCTTCTTCCCAATTCTTTCAATTAATGGTACAACCATATTGATTTATGAACAACAATATGGCTTTTCATAAGGACGATTCTGTTAAGAAATCGTCCGAAATTCGAATCTATGAAAACTAGGCTTAGGAATGAAAGTTTAATAAATTTATCTTAACAGAAATTTACTATAGAAAATTCCTCTGAAACATACTATAATAGTAAAGAAATTATGGCAATTTTTATAACACAATAATAATCTTACTCGTAACATTTTGTTAAAAATTAGAAATCCCGATGGCGATAAGGCGATATTCCTTTGATTAAACAAACAGTATTGATTCAACGAATTAAGTATATTCACTGTAATTAAGAAAGTAGATACTATTTTTTTATATAAGTAGGTACTTCAAAGTTAGATGTTTAATTTAAATAAATTAATTTCCCCCATTTGCTTCATTCTAATATGATTTGGTTGGACGAGATTTTACTGTAGATAGTGTTTCTGAGAGATATATTTGCTCTTTGAAGTTCAAGTGCTATATCCTTTTGATAATTGTATTATCACCCTCACGTATTTCATTGTTATTTTTTAATCAAGCAATACTTTCGCAGCACATTTTTTTTTTTTTAAAAAAAAAAATGTGAAATAAAAAAAAATTTCAAGCAAACAGTTAGTTAATGTTGTTAGGTATAATCTCTAAATACATTTAACTGTTTGTTGTGTGTAGAAATTGAGCTGTTTTCGAACATTTTTTACAAAGTTTTTAAAAATCCCTAAATTACGAATGAAATACTAATAGTACTATAATAATACTAATTTTAACTTTTATTCTTTTAAAAGTTAATAAAAATAAACTGTAGAAAAGTAAAGAGTAAATAATATTTACATTAGACTATATATTATTTATTACTATATTTTCTGCTAATTTATAGGATATATTTAGTTTTCAATTTGACTTTATCACAAAATTTCGTAACAAAACTAAATACACTAAACTACTTTGTTATTTTACTGTCAATACTGTCATTCGCATTCAGCAACCTGCAGTGGAATTCTGTAAGCTCTGTAGCAAAAAATTTCCTGTCTAGCCTATGCTATTTCTATACGATTGACAGGAAATACAGAATCAGGTACTCTGCTTGTTATATTAACCATAAAATCGATTGATTAAAGGTTAAATAAAATTTAGTTATTAATTTAATGACAAATAAAATCATTTCAATATATTTTATGGAATAAAATTTGTCCAACGAGTAAGGAAAATTTTCAACAGACAGAAATCCAAAAAATGACAGAAAAATTGATATTTGCTTATGAATTAAAATGACAGGCACCAACTGAATTTGTATAATATTGACATGTAAAAATTTTTTTATTAGAGAAAATTTTTTTTTTTTGTTCAATGATTTTTTATATTGTGAACCGTGTAACTACTTACCCCAAAGGTACACAATATAACGTGCCATGAAAACCAATAATGATAGTTCCTTATGGCTATCCAGCACACATATACAACTATACCCGCTATCGAAAATCGTGTTAAATAATTCAAAATAAATTTTTTTTTTTTTTAAAATAAAACTGTCTCTGTTGTTCACAACTTTCGTTTCAAATTCGAATTTACTTTCTTCGCTAATAATCACCATGGTTGTCTTAAGGTTATTATCAATTAGCCAATAATATAATAAACAATAACATTTAAAATTAACTCGCAATAATATCAACTTATCGATGTAACCAATTCAAAACAAATCCACTTTTCTCGTCTAAAGATAAATATATTACACTGGTATTCCCCAAGCGTTGACATACATGATGTTTCACGGTAAAATGTTGATACTTGGAAAACAACACAATACTGAGACACTGATTTGGTACTAATCATTGCTTATTTAATTTTGCTGATTTATTTCGCAAACAACAATTCTATTAAAAGTACGCTCACTGAGCAATATTAAATGTTTTTAATTCAATTCAATTAATTTTCAATTTCATTCAATTTTTTTTTTTTTTTTTTTTTTTTTTTATTATACAGGGTGGCCATCGAAAACATTCCGCAAAGCATAACGACCGGTATATTTTTTTCAAAATCCAAAAACACGTCAATTTTGTTTTATTGAGGGGGACAGCTTTTGCCCCAAAAATGATTACAAAATCTTTAACCCTCCCTAAGCAGGGTGTCATCCCCCAACTATTTTCAAATGGTAAGGGGGTCAAGTGGTACCGCAATGAAAGGGGCTTTCTATTCTCTATTCTTTCCCTCTTCGTTTGAAAAACCGGTAGAGTCATTGAGAAAATATGAAGGATTGAAATTTAGCAGAAAAAGTTTATTTAAACTATCCAGAGTAAATGATAAGGATAAATTATTTTGTCCAATTTAGGTTTTTCTTATTATTTCTGATGTTTACACATTTTCACTTGCCGCAAGGTTGAATGATCAGGTGCGGTATTTGCTAGACTTGTGTCTGTGACTTGTTCTGTGACTTGTGCCCTTGTGCGTTGAAGTTCTTCTCAATATCGTTAAACTTCTTAACAATTATGGTGTACTCACTTGCAGAAAAAAGTGGAAATAATCGAACTTAATTTTAATAATAATAGATGATCAGAAAGCTTGTATCAGGCACATATTAACAGGCGCCATCCTGACAAAACCCCTTTTATGGCAAAATTGTTCCTGAGTTAGTAGCAAGGGCTTCGCGAAACTGTTTCCGTTATGAATAAAAAGAGGCAGAGGGAAATTCCTGTAGTAAATGAAGCTGGAGGTATTCGTATTGGGCCAAGATGCCATGGGTAGTACGCTGAGTACAAGAGAAAATTAGCCAATAAGACCGACGTGAATCGTACAAAGAGATGTCCAAGGATATTAAATAAAACACAAGTTCCACCCGTACAAAATTCAGTTGGTACAAGAACTCAACAAAGACGATTTTGATCGTCGTTTGCAGTTTTGTGAAACTATGACTGAATGAAGTGTGGCGAATGATAATAATTTCTATTTAATGTGTGGTTTTCGGATGAGTGTACTGCTGAGGTACACACACAAAACCCTCAGAATTGAACGTGTGGGCTGGTATTTTTGGAGATTCTATTGTGGTTAGGTTATAGTTAGGGATTGGGTTAGGTTAGTTAGTCAGTTTAACGATATTGGCTCTGTTCCCAGAAGAATCCCTGACTTAGTCAGCACGTTTCTCATTGGTTGAAATGTGTAGAAACCAGACAACAATCAGGTTTCTATGCATTTTAACCAATAAGAAACGCGCTGACTAGTCAGAAATTCTTTCTGGGGAACGAACAGAAAGAACTTCAACGTACAAGTATCACAGAACAGCTATCTAGCAACTACCGCACCTGATCATCAACCTTGTGGCAAGGGTGAAAAAATGCGTAAGCATCTAAAAATAATAGAAAAGCAAGTGGTCGAAGGAATTTATCTTTATAATTTACTCTGATAAATGTTTAAATAAACTTTCAAATTTCAATCCTTCGTATTTTCTAAATGACGACCGATTTTTAAAAACGAAGCGAGGAAATATAGAGCTCTTTGCATTGAAAAAAGTTGGGGATGACACCCCCACTTAGAGGTTTGAAGATTTTGCAATCATTTTGGAGCAAAAGTTGTCCCCCACAAACAAAATTGACGTGTATTTGGATTTTTTGAAAAAATAAATACCGTTATATACCTTACGGAACACCGATGGGCCACACTGGCCTTATAATGTAGAATGTAGCAAAATGGTTCAATTACTATAGGAATAGAATCTTGAAATTCGACACGAATGAATGTGGAAATGTTTGGGAGAGGGGTTAATCACCTAAGGTGCGTTCACACCGGCTGCGCCGCTCCGCGCCGCACAAAACATTTTTTAACATGTTTTTTTTTTTTTTTTTTTTTTTTTTTTTTTTTTTAAATTATATGTTAAAAAAAATGATTTCGGCTTTAGGTGTGAACACACCTTTAAATCTGTGCTTGTTCCCCTTTCTTCAGTTATAACTGATCATACAGTATTTCGCGCTTTTGACAAAGTCAGTATGAACTTGCTCCACAGAGGCCAGCTCACCTTCAGCATCAACCGTATAGCACGAACCATAGGCATAGGCACGAATGGTTTGATAGATGCTCGGAGCACTGAGTAATAAGGTGTTCAGGTGTTTCCCATTTCCCACAGAATCATTCGTCGATATTTCTCAGTTTCAATTTACTGATGTGTTCGTTGAGGGCAGTGTCCTGTTAAACGGCTGTTTCGATCAGTGTCTTAGATCGTTAGAAGACACCCATTCAAGGAGGTTACGGATTGAGTCTTCCAGGTGCTTCAGTTCCGCTAAGCTGGTTTCCGCAGAAAGCAGAACGGTTCCCGTCGGATGGTGGAGTTTTCGCTCCTTTTTTTTGCTAGATCGTTTACTTTTGCATTGGCTTCAATCTCTTGTTGAGCGGGCTTTAGAATAGGGAGGAAATAAAGCATACCTAAAATGTAAAATTTACAAGATGTTACACACACACAGACATACTATTGTTATATATTTATTATGTGCCATTATTGTATTGTAATGTTACTTTTGTATGAAATGTTTGGATAAATATTCACATATCTGCCCATATAATACAACACAATCCTATAGATATCTTGAGGATATCCACCAAGGATATAGTAATATCTTAGGGATATCCAAAAACCAAAGGAGGATATTTATGGGATATCCAGATGGGACAAAAAAAAGTCATCTTCAAGATCCCTAGGCAAGCCTTTTTCGATTATTTGGGATATTTACAGGATAATACAAGGATGATGTTGGGAGCATTACAGAATATTTTTAGGACATTATATGAGGACTGTTATTTGACAATAATTACTTCATCAACAGTTTATAGTAAAAACGTTCGCGATTTAGTTTATTTAGCCACATTTTTACGTTATTCGTGGATATTTTATTAACAGCTCTAAAATACACCTATATATTATGTCAATGAATTTTGCTTCAAAATTTAAATATGTTGTATGAGTTAGAACTTTCAATTTATACTGTACCATCAAAAAAAGGCGTTCAATTGATTTGAAAATTACGATCGATGACGCGTCCCATATAATTTACATACAAATAAAAGCAATCTTCATTTCCAATTTTCAAGCCACCTCTGATGCCGTTTTTTTTGATCGTATGGTATTATACAAGATTATACTACCCTTTATGGAGTCTAGCAGTCTAGCAGCAACAGTTTACATCAAAGTAAGCACACAGGATACAGGTATAATTTCTAACACCACACATTCCAGAAACTCACAATTTAAACACAAAAATAGGATTTCTATTCGAATAGATCAAACACGAAAATGGGTTTAAGGATAAAGAACAAGCGCTTTTTAACAAATTTTCACCTATAATTTTGTTACAAATTTTTCATTGTGAGACCCCGAGTCGTTCGTCGTTTTTCGACATTAGTTGAGGTTAGGATAGAATTTCTGCTAGAACCAAATACGTTTAAATTACCTATACGGAGGGTACCGCTTAAATTCCTGTCCCGATGTTAAAGGATGGCTATAGAATTTCAATTCATAAGTCTATCCTTGTGTGGTAGGAGGTTTAACTAAACAAGGATGAACCTATGTCTTGAAACCATTCGAATCGATTTTCTGTCCTCCTTCAATACTGGGACATAAATTCTCACATTGCTCTTATGGGGAGGCCGCGGTATAGGTAATTTAGACGTATTTGGCTAGAACAAGGCTAGAACATGGCTAGAACCAACTAGAACTTTGAGTATAAGAAAAAACTAAGTCAAACTCAACCAGTTTTGTTAGTTTCAGTCATTTTTAAGCCCATTCAATATCGACAAACGACCGAATTCACCTCGAACTTCACTACATCAAAGAACTGAATAATACACGATGCAAAAACAAACAACTGTCGAGATGGATTGTGGGAAATTTTTTGCGCGGGCGTTTTAAATTCTCTGTATTACTGGGAGTGACCAAGCTCATAAATATCCAGATTATCCAGAAGATACCAACAGGATATTTTGTTGCCTTGACGTAATATATATCTATCTGTATGGTTTATTGCATTTTATGTAATATAAAAAGTAGTACATTATTTATTTTTCCTAAATATCTAGACGATATTGTTAGGATATTTTATTATCATGAGCATGTTTGGATATCTCAGCTGGATGTACATTAGATATACGATAGAGATATTCATAGGATATTCTATTCTGAGACATCTACAGGATTTCAGGATGTCTGGAGGATATCCTATAGATGTCTTAATAAGATGATCTTATAATGGGACATTCCGACATTCTATGAATATCCTGCGGATATTGTGTGTTATATGGGTGGAAACCGTATTTATAAGGAAACCAAATGTAACCCAGGGAATTGTGCCAAAAATAATGACAGGAAAGAGATGTGTCCAAACGCACTACAGAGAATTAATAAGAGCAAGAACATCTCTAGAAATTTAAAAGTAAGAATGTACCAAACAATGATACGACCAATAGTATTATATGCATGAAAATAGGCTAGAGATTTGGGAAAGCAAAATACTGAGGAAGATTTTCGGAAGAAAGAAAATAGACAACATGGTGGACTACAAACCAAATCTCGTTTTTTTTATCTCAAAAAATAAAAAAGTTATAAGGGTGAGCCACTTTTGAGACGCACCCGGTATATACATACAGGGTGAGTTTCCTACGATGTTCTCTATGGGTATCTCGGAAACTACTGGAGATAGAAAGTCGGTTAAATGGAAAAAGAATTGCAGTTTCTTGGGGTCATAAACATGGGCGCCTTTCAGATTTTTGAAAAAGTTCATGGGTTACCTACTAGACATTTCGAAAAAAAACAAATTTCGGCTATTTCAAAAATTGTTCCTAATTCCATTATAATCTATTTTAGACAAAAAGCTTTCAGATAAAGATGTAGATAATCACATCCTTGACGAGATTGTGTTTTCTGTTTTTTTCTTCTAAAGCCTGTCATTTTTGACATTTGACACAAACATATGTTTTTTCAAATGGAAACCATAGTTGGCCATGACTTCATAAAAAGCGCCATTTTTTAAGCTTTTTAGCAATATAAGCTGTAATATGTTTCTTTCGAAAAATTACTGAGATATAGCCAATTCTTATCATTTTTAAACAATTCCACTTAGTTAGCCATGGGAACAAGTTCAATCGTCTTTGCTCTCAGTAATGTGAAACTGTCACATCCAAACTTTGTAAATTAAAATAAACAAAAATTGTAAATATCAATTTTTCAAATGAAGAAAAGCGTGTAGGATTATTGGTTCAACTTTTCTTGGCCATACTTTTTCAAGCATACTTTGACCGATGCACGTTATTTACGTGTTTTAGAAAAGTTAGAATATACTCGCGCATCAATAGAGTGGTTCCAACATGACTTTCATTATGACACTCCCTCTCATACTGAAAGAAATGTTAAAAATTATTTATATCATAATTATGCAAACTCAGGGTTAGGAACAGGTGGACCAATTGCATGGGCCTCTAGTTAGTTTAGTCAATAGTTAGTTTATAGTTAAATGCCGCGTTGTCCAGTCAGAATCATCCTATGTGTATAGTATCACAGATTATACAGATTATAAACTTATCGTCAAAAGCATTGTTTTTCGTGGTTCCAATTTTCGGAGTCGCGCACTAATTAGGTTACTAGTTTGCGCACAAGCACGCCCACTTATGGCCTCTAAAATTGTGCACAGCGCCTGACCGGCCTTGTAACCGGCCCAGTTATTACGCTGTTTAAACGGGCGTTTATTTTTGCGCACAAGAAAATTTGCTCGTTTGCTCATCGTCATAAAAAACAATTTTCGTACCACGAATTAGGGACAAGATTTTTATCTTTATACTTATAGAATACCTAATCTGTGATAGTATACCGTGTTAACACTAGCACTGTTTTATTTAAGTAATTACATAATATTAAAAAAGTATATAGTACATATTAAAAGTATTTAAATTTAAGTAGTATCTTAATTTTTTTTAAATTTTGACAATGATCCATCCACTGATTTTTTTTCATATTCAAAGAGAAACAAAGATACAATAGATAATAATCTTTTTCCAGGACAGAAATTTACAATTCTGTAAAATTTTAAAAGTTTATAGCATAAGGGTAGGTCATAGTAAAATAAATACCAATATTTAACTTAATAAAAAATAAAAAAATGCTTTCATATGAAGAACAAAGCAAAATGTCAACAAAAATCATGAAATGTATTTCAAAATAAAAAAATAATAATATTTTTAATTTTTAATATTTTTTTTAATAAAATACATTTGAAAAAATCGTCCCACAAAATTTAATAAAAAATAATAATGATAATGAATTTATTTATTTTTGTTGTATCGTCCAAAGGCTACACAAAAAAAAAACAAATTTCTTCTATCTTATATTTCTTTCTATCTTAAATCTTAATACATAAAAAGCATAATGTAAATCAATAAATGTTAAAAAATCTCTTTAATTTGGGATCATTATTATAGATCACACGAGTCGCTATAAAAGAGTGTAATTATTGATAATGGTAAGCTATTAATTGAAATATTTTATGATATGACTTTTATACCTACATATAAAAAAATATAAATTTGCCAATCGGATATTAATACAGGGTGGCCCATCGAAAACGTTCCGCAAGGCATAACGGCCAGGGTAATTTTTTTTTCAGAAAATCCAAAAACACGTCAATTTAGTTTGTGGGGGGGGACAACTTTTGCCCCAAAAATGATTGCAAAATCTTCAACCCTCTAAGCGGGGGTGTCATCCCCCAACTTTTTTCAAATGGGAAGGGGGTCAAGTGGCACCGCAATGAAAAGAGCTTTCTATTCTCTATATTTCCCCGCTTCGTTTTTGAAAATCGGTCGAGTCATTGAGAGAATATGAAGGATGGAAATTTGAAAAGTTTATTTAAACATTTATCAGAATAAATGATAAGGATAAATTCCTTCGACCAATTTGCTGTTTTTTCTTATTATTTCTAGATGTTTACGCATTTTTTCACTTGCCACAAGGTTGAACGATCAGGTGCGGTAGTTGCTAGATAGCTGTTCTGTGACTTGTGCGTTGAAGTTCTTCTCAATATCGTTAAACTTTTTAACAGTTATGGTGTACTCACTTGCAGAAAAAGTGGATATAATCGAACTTTATTTTAAAAATAATGAATGTGGCAATCGGTTTGCGCAGATATTCAATGAACGCCATCCCGACAAACACCTTTATGGCAAAATTGTTCGCGATTTAGTAGCAAAATTTCACGAAACTGGTTCCGTTATGAATAAAAAGAGGCAGAGGGAAAATCCTGTAGTAAATGAAGCTATGGAGGTATTCGTATTGGGCCAAGTTGCCATGAGTACAAGAAAATTAGCCAATGAGACCGCGACCGGCGTGAATCGTACAAGTGTCCAAACAATATTAAAAAAACACAAGTTCCACCCGTACAAAATTCAGTTGGTACAAGAATTCAACGAAGACGATTTTGATCGTCGCGAGCTGGTATTTTTGGAAATTCTATTGTAGGTCAGTTTAACGATACTGAGACCGCACCTGATCGTTCAACCTTGTGGCAAGTGAAAAAATGCGTAAACATCTAGAAATAATAAGAAAAAACAGCAAATTGGTCGAGGGAATTTATCCTTATCGTTTACTCTGATAAATGTTTAAATAAACTTTTCAAATTTCAATCCTTCATATTTTCTCAATGACTCGACCGATTTTCAAAAACTGTCGTGATCCTGGATTGGACCACCGTCGTCACCAATCTTGTAGTCGCTGCCACCAAATGTTGTAGTTCTCTATTTGACTCATATGCCGAGAATGTTATTCTTTATTTTTTATCAATTAAATTCTTACTAAGTTGTTATTACTTTTATTTTTAAACTTTTAATACAAAATATAAATTTAGCAGTGTACGTCCCTATGAAAAATTTTTATGAATGTCCTCGATTCCCTTCTGTGACCGTGCTTTTATGAGAATGTCCTCTCCATCACGGGCATTACCTACTATTTCTTAATAACTCTATATTTTCAGGTAGGTTTGCAAGGTTAAACATGACCATTTCAAGTAGTAAAACCAGACATCGCGTCTGAGAAAGTAAACGAATTACAAAGGAAAACTAAAAATGATGCAACTTATTTATGACTATTTCTTCCAAATTTCATCTTAAGGTATCTTCTGTTTATTTGCATCACCCCATCTTTCTGAGAAGAAGAATAATAATGTTGATGAATTTTCATTGCCTTCATTCTTTAGGCATAACCGTAGAATAAGGGTAAAAATAATATTTTTATACAATTGTCGAATATACACATATACATATAACCTTATTAAATGTATGTTCACAACAAAAGCTGAAAGCAGGAAATATAGAGGCAGAAAGCTCTTATCATTGCGGTTGCCACTTGACCACCTTCCCATTTGAAAAAAAGTTGGGCGATGACACCCCACTTAGAGGTTGAAAGATTTTGCAATCATTTTGGGGCAAAGTTGTCCCCCCTCACAAAACAAAATTGACTGATGTTTTGGATTTTTGAAAAAAAAAATATCTGGCCGTTATGTCTTGCGGAACGTTTTCGATGAAACCACCCTGTATAAATAAACGTATACTACTACTAAAAATGAAAAAAACATGTACACCTCTAAAGATGTATTTAAATTCTGAATTTTAGATTATTATCCAAACTTTTCTAATCAGTTTAAAACTTTGAATAATAAATAGTGTATTATTAATAGTATTGCATTTTCCTGAATCAAATATACATATTTACATTTATTTTAATCAACTACTGCAATTAAACTGCCGCTCTATAATTACTTAAAGAAATCACAAATGGGACCTATCAAGTTCAAGATTCCATAACACTCAAGATCACTATAAAACCAGTGTTGGTGTTATACGTGACATGAGAAAAGTATTGTCTTAATCCATAACCTAAACTAATTGAGCCCAAAACGTAGGCAGCTATTCCTAAGAAATTGTGGAAATGCTTGATCCATACTGGTTTGATTCCAAGTCTATAAGTTAATTTGGAGAAAGCTGCTAGGAATCCGAGAAGGAATGACAGCATGGTGAGCAGAAAAGCAACCAAGCCTAAAAAATCAAAATAAATGCTGAATTTAGGGCCAAGAACGACCAGTGCAAGACTTCCGCAAGATCAGACTGTAACCACGCAAGACTCTTGCGGTTTTGTATTTTTAGAAGAAAGAAAATCCAGAAAAGATCCAGTGGTTCTCAAAATTTTAGCAAAAAATCATTTTTTGGGAAATTTTAATAAATAAGGGTAAAATAATCCGGTTATTTGTGATTTATTTAGAAAACGGTAAAGAGAACATATGTTTCTTTTAACGAGATCTACCAGCCCTGAAAATATTTGCACTTATCTAACACTCACCTTATAAGTAATGACTTATTTGTTCAAAATTATTGTTTTAATTTATTACAAATAATGTTTTCCCGACTATTGCATACAATTTTAAAGAAAGTTGAAAAGTTGAAAAATATTGAAAAATTAAAATTTTTGTCAAGCAAATATTCTAACAATGTCTTTCTTTAAAGTTTTATTTGTATTAAATTACCAAAAACACTATTTATTTAAAGGTTTTCAATGTAGAAAGTGCACATAGTAAAAATCTATTAAAAAATACATGCAAGACTTGCAAGAGTCTTGTGCAAAATATTTTCCTGAAATAAATGCTAACACATACTTTAGGTAGACAAAATTCCTAAGTATAGGAGCTACGCGTTCCTAAGTTTTTTATTATAGGAGCTACACTTTCCTAAGTTTTTTTTATTATAGTAGCTATGCTTTCCTAAGTTTTTTATTATAGGAGCCCTACGCACTATTGCCGGGCCCATATAAAGTAATTAGGAACGACTTTGAACAGTGGCAACCCTTATTTGCGGCAATTTTTTGATAGGCACCCTTAAATATCATGCACAGAATAAAAATAGCTTTAATTTGACATATAAATAAATAAAAAAAATATGAACGTAATTTCATTTTCAAAATCAGTTATATTTAATATTAATTAAACATAGTTGCGGCAACTTTTTCATTGGCACCCTGTTAAAAGTGTATTCTCCTATTCATACGTAAAAATTAAGTTTTGATTAAAAATATAATGTGCGTAATAATACTGCAGCCTGATCTTAGAGCATAAGGTTTAAAATTATATGAGGGAAAATATTTTTTTTCCTCAAAAATATGCACGATGGCGATTTTTTAAAAGAGACAAAAAATATAGTTAATACTATATTTTTTGTAAGTACATTTTACGAATATTTATACTAAAATTTAATGCAGGGGTGAGGGTAGTTTTCACCTTTCCCGTAGTTTTTCTTGAATTTTGTGAAAGTCAAATGTTAGAGTAGTAGTTAGAGATAGCAAAACATAGACACTGACACCCAAAATCTCATTCAATTCGGAATAACGGTTCTTAAAACATCTGAAAAAATGTGTTTATTTTTTTAAAACTTGATGCCCTCTAGCGGACAAACAAAGCACTTTTGTATAGAGTAAGTTTTGTCCGATGAACTTATTTTAATTACAAAAATACGTAGTAGTTCTACGTCCACGGAATATTGGGACACCCTGTATTTCTAAACCTTTTAACAAGGCTTTCTAACAAGGCCTTGATTTGGCCTTAATCACTTCGCGTAAGTATCATTGTAGAATTTTCTTTCTAATATAGTACTATGATAAATGTGGACAAGTTCGATGTAGCTTTATCAACCTGTTACTATCTTTACATTACCTGTTATTCCGTGAGTACTAGTAAAATGACTCCTGCTGTTGTTTACTTTATCTTGAATTTTCACAGATATTCCAGCTATGACAGCAATGGTAGCGAATGTCATTAAAACACCATGAATGAATCCTCTAGTTTTTTTGCTAAATCCGAGTACAAACACGTTTCCAGGGCTAAACACAGCCACAGCTTCAGCCATAAAAAAAGAAAACTAAAAAAACAAAAATAGGTAATTGTAAAGTACAGTACGTTTAAGAAATAATAAAATATATCACGAGGTCGAGCAAAACTTTTAAGACAAACACATTTTTCTCAAAATGTCAATAATAAAAAACTGTTTCCTCTTGTAAAGACAATCCGGAGATATACTGTATGTGTATTTAACGTTAACCAAGTTCATTTTTTAATAAACAATTTTCTAAGCCTGGTTGACACGGTCAATGCGTACTTTAATTAAATGCTCTTTGACGCTGCGCGCGTCTCACTTGGAAGCTAAGAAAAATTATTAGATTTAATAAACCAAACTTACTTTACCTCAATAAAAAGAGAGTAATACAAGAGCTAACAAAGTCGGGAAACAAGAATTTTAATAAAGCTGGCCCCGATTCTGTAAACATGTTTCCTGTCTAGTGACCCATCAATCGTATACAAATAACATTGGCTAGACGTGAAATTTCTTGCTACGAAGCTTACAGAAGCCCATTGCTGGTTCTTTAAAGTATCTTTTACTATGTCGATGCTCCCCTGTGCTCTCCTTACCAAAGTGCGGGCAGTCTGGCTGCCGGTAGACGACTGTGATTTACTACTGCGCATCACATCTATACCGGGTATCCCATTTTTGTGTGTTTTATGGGATTTTCTCATTTATTAGTCGATTTTCTCATTACTTTGCTTTTATTATGAATCTAAATATGCTACACATGTTTGTCCTAGCCTTCTTAGTTATTGAAATACAGGGCCAATTTTTGATGCGGAGTAGTGAACACATGTTGAAAACAGATATGGTGCGCAGTAGTGAACCCAACGTCTACCGGCAGCCAGACGGTCCGCACTCTGCTGAGGTGAGCATAGCAAAAGATATATTAAAGAACCAGCTTCAAACCAGTGAAAAAATATGTAGGTGGCACCCCCTACAAGTAGGAGTGATACTGTCATTGAAATCAAATTACTCATTTCAAAAAACTCCAAGGCACCAATTTTCATCCAAATATTGACTTTACTTCAAACATTATTTGGATAAAATCGAAATAAAAATTAAACCGAATTATCTCCGAAACAAAACATTTTAGGTCATAAATTAAATTTATATGAACTTCTTTAGGTATTTTTTATCTACAGAACGTGCTACCGAAATTGTAGAATGTAATTCGGATCGCCCTGTATACAGTGAATCAAAACCATATGTTTTATTTTCTCCATTATTTGATGTAGAATGTATTGTATTTTGTATTTTCAATCTGTACTTTATGACTGAAATGAACATAGTTTTTATATGTATTATGTTTTTATATTGTTTTATTAATTAACTTGAATTGGACATCAGTAATAATTTTTTGTTTCATAATGATTAATATCAGCAGCACTTGTACAATAAATTGCATTTAATTATTAATTTTGAGAGCATCAAAAGTGTGGAAAATTTAATCTAAAAATGTAGTACTTAAGTTACTTACCCCTGTGGTAGATAAAAATATATGCCATGTGTGCAGTTCATTCCAATTTCTGTTAATTGCCACAATCCAAACTGTTGACGTGACGAAAATAGCCAAAAGAAACTGAAATATTCCTTGAGACACTAGAAATATTCTATGTTTAACAGAAATAGGTTCGGAGGGCATTTTACGTAAATTTTTTAGCCAAAAAAAACTGGCTAAATTAAAAAAACACTATAAATCGCTAACCGCTAAATAGGAATGATGATACGTGTTTTTTTAAAGTACGATTTGGTGATAAATTTAAGCACTTTATTCTCATTTATCAACCAATAATATTGACAGTTACTAATACTAGATTAGAAAAATTTTCTGTACTATATCACAAGGTATGCGAAAAATTAATCCTCCGTATCATTTTAAAACTAGTATCTATTTCAAAAGTAGGTATTACAAATTTTCTCAGTAATTTAAATATATATTATTTATAAATGTACATACATTAAATACCTATTGCTATAGTCATACTTAATATATAGAATCGTTCAAATATACAGGGTGATTCACGGCCATTTTTGCATAAAGGCACCTGGTGCATCTGTTTAAATTGTTTTCAGCGTTACAGTGTTGCCGCTTCATATTAAAAGCATCTTTGTTATAGATAGAACACCTGGCATATAATTATTACATTTTTTGAAACCACTTTTATAACTCACAATTTTTGTATTATACTAACCTATACCTATCTCTAACCGTTTTCTAGATAAAAAATAAAACATGTGTACAATTGACAAAAACGTGATCTTGATAATGTAGTGGTTAAATCATAAATACGAATACTGAAAACTGAAATTTGGATTATAGGTTAAGGAAGTCCGATATATCCAATCTATCTAAATCAACCGACTGGATATCACACAGGGAGATCAAAAAAAAATATTTTTTTCCGTTTGTTATAAAATCGTTCAAAATATTGTTATTTTAAATTCAATCCTATGTATATTATTTAAAAAATCGAGACACAAATAAAACTGCTTTCAACGATATATCATGCTCCTATACACCGAAACCTTCCGCTTTCTTCATTAAAGTCATTTGAAAGATAATAATTCTATTATAATTATTTCCAAAGATTATTTCGTTAAAAGAAACTTGTTACCATGACAAATATTCAAACTTTATAAGAATTATAAGTATCAATTAGACATTACTTGCTAAATTTTTAAAATTGTCATGGTAACGAAATTCTTGAAATGAAACTGTAATAATAGAATTATTAATTTTTAAAAAGCTCTACTTAAGAAACCGGAAGGTTTAGGTATAGGAACATGATATTATATTGTTACGGATTCCGTGGGTCCACTATTTTAAACTCACGATAAAACACTTAACGAATTTATTTTTCTCACTCTGTACACACAACTTATACTATTTACAACACAATTTATGCAACTACTATTACTCTAACGGTTCTGGCACCTTCGCCAATTAATTCACAATTTAAAACGCGGTATTATCAAACTTCAAACTATCCAACCGCCAAGCGTGGGTCTTTATATACCCCTACTGACGGTTTCTCGAACCTTCTATAGAATTCTGTAATATTCTTTTTTTTTACTTTCTGGTGAATTTGCCATGTTTCTGGACACGAAGGCACGTTGCGACAATGTAGGCAACCAGTAATACAGTTTAGCGCTACATACACCTTGACAATATCGTTGAAAAGCAATTTTATTAGTCTTTTGATTTTTTAAATGATATACATAGGGCTGAATTTAAAACAACAAGATTGTAAGCAATTTTATAACTAACGGAAGTAAATAATATTTTTGCCCACACTGTGTAATATCCAATCGGTTAATTTAAACATATCAAATATAACAACTTTCGTTAACTTATAACTATGGAGGCTAGCCTCCATATTTATAACCTAAATGTCAACTTTAAAAATGCTCAATTCATGATTTTACCACTACCAATGGTTATTCACGATCATGTTTTTTGTCAATTTTATGCATGTTTTATATTTTATCTCAAAAGCTAAGATAGGTATACGTTAATATAATAGAAAAATTATTGAGATATCAAAGTAGTTTCCAAAATTGAAAGAATATACAAGGTGTTAGGTTAGGTTAGGTCATGGTCATTTAAAATAAGAAAGATGCTATCACTTTTCAAATGATGCAGCAACAATGTAACGCTGAAAATATTCCAGAAGAATGGAGCATAGGTGCCTTTTGTAAAAATAAAAAATTCTCCAAAAAAACCTATCACCGATTCTCCATAAACGTCGCGCCATAGCCGTGTATATTTTGTTATAGATAATATTACAGGTGATAAAAATTTTATGAGTAATATTTTAAGATTAAGTAAGTACCAATAAAAAATGTTTCATTAATAGTTAATAATAAATTTTCGACTAGACAACTTAATATATCACTAACAAAAGAACAATAATTTCCAAATAATAAAAAATTATATATTTGTTTGTTATCTTTACATATTTCCAGACATGACGTATTCCTTTTTTTTCAGTAGATACTAATATAGATGGGTCAACTTTTGTTTAGGTGAAATCAGTTATCAGAAAAAAAAATTGTCTTTAAAAAGCTACTGTGAACCACGGAAAACACAAATTTTCATGCGGAAATGCGTAATTTCCAAATTTCGCACTTAACTGAAATCTGCTATAAAAAATACATTTTGCGTTTTATTTTTAATATTTTTCTGAACATATACAAACAAAAATTTTCCTGCGGAAATACCTAAGCTGTTTTCATTTTCTAAGAAAATTTATTAGACTTTAGAACAGCTGAAATCAGTTATATAAAAAATAAATATATTTTTGTCTTTTAGAAGCATTCACGAATTGAGGAAAATAAAAATTTTCCTGCGGAAATAAACTGTATCCATTTTCTGAGGAAATTTAGTAGACTTCAGATCAGAATATGCACTGATTAGAAAAAATGCTCTGACTTTTGAATAGCCGAAATCTGTTACATTTATATCAATGTTTGTATTAAATTTTAGACATTTTTCCAATTATAAAAACACAAAAAAAACTGTGCGTAAACTTTTTATTTTCATTTTATATAAAAAATGTTCTGACTTTAGAATAGTCGAAATCAGTTACATTTACGCTAGTTGTTCTGTTGAATTTTAGACTTATTTTCCACTATAAAAACACCAAAAAAAATGTGCGGAAAAGCCGGGGAGGTTGGCACAGTTTCTAGTGCGTTAGTGCTGCACAACTGTAAACCTCCGCGATCTGAGTTCGACTCCCAGCGGAACTAAAGTGGTCAAAGAAGGTAATTCGGTCGAATTACTTGGTAATATAAAAAATGTTTTACTAGTATTCAGACCTTGTTATTATCACAAAAAAGTCTACGGAATTTTGCTTTTCATGTTTTAAAACGAATAGTGATCCTCTTCCCGACCTTTAACACAGATCAATGAATAATGTCTATTCTTATCAGCTTAATATCGCTACAATCGCTATAACATGCACACTATTTTTTAAAAAGTAGACAGTTTATAAAACAATATATTCGCCTTATTATATTATCGGGTCTTGTAAAGTATAAGTACCAACGAATTTAGCAAAAACAATTTTTTGCCAGAAAGTCCTATGCTTATAGAACAGTTTAAAAGAACAAAATCCTTGGATAAAGCAGTTTTGAACCAAAAAAAATAATTTACCAGTCTAATAATTAATTTAATAATATTTTTACAAAATCACAGTTAATTATTAAAATATAAAAACCACAGCTTAACACACTCCACAAAGAAAAGCTAATCAAAGCAGCACAAATCCTAATCAATCTAATATTTTTGTACAATCACAGTTAATTATTAAAATACATATAAAAACCTCAGCTTAAAAGCTCGTATAAAACAAATATAAGTTCATTTTTCATGTAACTGACAAAGCATTATTTTATGTAAAATAAAAATGAAATTTTTATAAATTTTTTTTTTGACATTTTGACACTTTTTTGTGTGTTTATGTTTAGAAAATGTCTAAAACCACCCCGAAGACTAGTTTTGATGTAACAGTTTTCGGCTATACTAAAGTTCGAAAAATGAAAATGACGCATTTCCGCAGGAACATTTTTGTATATTTGTACTCCTAACGCCTTCTAGAACGCATATATAAAGTCATTTTTTATATAACACATTTTAGCTAAACGAAAGTCGAGCCATCTAGATCATTTAATAAACTAATTGCAATTTAAAGACTGAAATATAAATCAGATCATTACTTCTTCAAAATATTATATTTCTTATCTGTCCATAAAGAGATTTCAAAGCTGCCAATATACTCCAAACTGATATGATCCAAATGGAGTAGTAACTGGCTTGATAGACTGGTTCCGAGGCATACCATCGAACAACATCAATTTTATCAAACAAACTTGCAATGCCTATGAAAAAGGCGGCTATTCCTAGGAAATTGTGGATAAATTTGGCTATTACTGGTTTAACGTACTTGGAGAAAAGTTGGGTATTTGCTGCCAATAATCCAATGAAAATTGACACTACAATTAATACCCATGACACCAACCCTAAAAAAAATAATTAGATGTAAGTATATAGGGTGTCACAGGCTGAGCCTGCATTAGAAGTTTTTAGAGAACTGAAAGATCTCGATCGGAGATTTTTTGCATATCATGTTTCAAAACGAGATCTGTCGATTAAAAATATTTTCAATATGGCGGCACTTCCGGAAATACCGGAAGTTGACCGCCAACTTTCTTATTTTAAATTCCCCCATTTTTTATGACATACTTGAATTGTCTGTAAAATTTTATAAATTTCGATATCAAATACTCTATACCTAACATTAACCGTTTTTGAGAACAAAAATATTTAAAATTTTTGGAGGAAAAAAACTGCCTGTCAAAAAAATTGTATAGCCTAAACGTCAAATTTAGTGATAACCACAGCCACTGTGACATCTATTTCAAAAATTTAATTGTTTGATTGTCATATAATAGTGGCCGTAGCTGTCATGCAATTGAGAGATTATAAAATGATCATAAATCATTTTTTTCAAATGGAAACCCACTTATTTATTTCAATAGTAAAAAGGTTCTTCAATTCGTTACTATTTGGTTATACATGTTCCTATACCTAAAATAAATCGTTTTTAAGTTATTTAAAGTTTAGTTTTAAAGAGTAATTTTTGTTGCTTTTATCTAGCTTCCTTTAACATTAAGTGTCAAACCATCAAACAGTTTATTTCAATCTGTCAAAAAAGTTATTATTTGAATTTCGTATATTATAAATACTGCTCCTAAAACTTTATAAAGTGTATTTATAAAAACATATCTCGTATTTTAGTGATATCTAATGGCAATATGACATGGCCAAAAATATACGCTTTAAAAGTAAATCTTTTAAAAACGATTTATTTTGGGTATAAGAACATCTATAATCAAAAAGTAACGAATCAAAAAACCTTTTCACTAGTGAAATAAAGAAAGGGTTTCCATTTGAAAAAAATGATTTATTATCATTTTTTAATATCTCGATTTCGTGACAGCTATGGCCAATATTATCTGACATTCAAACAATTTAATTTTTGAAATAGATAGGCACATGTCTTCTCTTTGTGTCACAGTGGCTGTGGTAATCACTAAATTTGACGTTTAGGCTATACAATTTTTTTTGAAAGGAAGTTTTTTTCTTGTAAAAATCTTAAATATTTTTGTCTGAAAAACGGTTAATGTTAGATATAGAGTGTTTAATATCGAAATTCGTAAAATTTTACAGAGAATTTAAGAATGTCATAAAAATTTTCCTGTATTTCCGGAAGTGCCACCATATGGAAAATATTTTTAATCGATAGATCTCATTGTGAAACAATGATGTGTAAAAAATCTCCGATCTAGATATTGTAGTTCTCTAGAAACTTCTAATGCACGCTCAGCCTGGGACACCCCGTATACAGTGGCATTTCCCTAACTCAAATCTCAAAGGGACCGAAAATGAAATCGAGTTAGAGAAAATTCGAATTATACACAAAACGCTAAATTAAAGGTTTTGTTTATGGTTTATTTTATTTATTAGTTAAAACGACTATAGGTATACAGAGCCTTGCAACAGTGCATCGGGCATATCTAGCTCCTATAATAAAAAAAAACATTTTGTTGAAGAGCAAACCTAAAGCATGTACTAGGATGTATTTCAGGAATATATTTTAACTTTTACAGAATGTCTTGAAATCAAAGATATACTAAGTATTTATTACATTTTAATATCGCAATCTTAAAGCATACAGGATGTTCAAATTTATATGCCAAACTTTCTAAAATATAAAATAAATTTTCTTCGTTTTTTTTTTAATGGATTACCCTGTATATTATTCCTTTGTTAGATGGAGAGGTAAAAAATGAACATTTTTTGTATTTAAAGTATTTCAAAATTTTCAACGGTTTTGGAGATATTCCTTCGAATAGTATATTACATATGGGGTTTTGAACAGTAATTTTTTAACAAAACCACCTATGATTCTTGCCTAGTATTTTACCGTTAAAATTTTTTTACCGAGTATTTATATAAAAGTAATAAAACGGTTTATATAAATTTTAAAACGCTTTAAATACAAAAAAATTTCATTTTTTAATTCTCCATCTGCTAACGAATATACAAGGTGTTCCATTTAAAAAAAACCAAGAACATTAATAATTTTATATTTTAGAAAGTTTCGCATATAAACTTGAACAAGATTACGATATTTATAGGAAAGTAAGTACAGACTAACTATAGTAAATAACTAGTATAGCTTTGATTTCAGGACATTTGTTGTATTTTTAATATTTTTTTTAAAAAAGATGAAGGATATATATTTTTTTATTTATTTGTTAATATCTCTGAAACTATCAAAATATATTTATTAATATCTTAGGATTACATTATAGTGAACCAAAAGGAAGATAAAAATGCAATAATATACAGGGTTACAGTTGAGGGTTGGAACCTTTGGTGTTACACAGCAAAATAAAAACACTAAATCACCACAATACACCAAAACACTTTTACTTTTACACTGGACGGGCGTTTCGCTAACCATGTTAGCATCATCAGCAGATGATTATAAACTAAAGTGCAATCTACAAGTTGAGCGTTTATATACTCGCCCAGTGGGCACCGAGTCGGCGTGGCAAAAACTAGCCAACCGAGTCAGGGCCCACTGAGCGTAACAGTTAGATTTCCGCCACTAGAGTAGTAGGAACAAAGAACTTGAAGGAATTGACCATTTTGTCTCTGTTCATACTATCTTTACATTTATTAATTCTGATGCTTTCATATGCATCTAATTGCCTGTAATTTGAGACTTGTTTAATTAATTTTAAATTATTAGATCTATACAATGTTCTTTTATCAACAATATGTTCGACAACACAAGATTTATCATTCTATATATCTGAGCTAAATGTTCTTTTAAATCTAGTTAATAATAATCTTCTAGTTTGCCCAACATATTTCTGATTACAATCTTTACAAAATTTCATAAATACCGACCTTTCCAGTGGAGTGTTTTATCCTTTGGATACCTAATAATTGTTGTAATTATTATTAGCACTATACCAAGTTTATAATTGACATTCTTAAAATTCCTTTTAGACCACAGGATAACTCTCTATCAAACAGTATCGAAAAATATTTAGAAGTATCTCTCTCCCACTTGAAAAGTCGAATTTTAAGAAATCATTAACCTATACTACGTTTTCTAAGTATTTTATCAACTAGTGAAGAGATAACTCAGTAAACTCAGCTACATTCCCTAATGTAATCTTTGTTTCATATCTTTCGTTGGAAAGTGGGAAACTGAATAATCTATAATAAGAAATTTAAACTAACCATTTTATGTTCAACACTATGATGAGGAATTCATTATGAATATATCTGCGATAAAATTAATAAAATAAAAATATTTTTCTATTGATATCAAATTCCAGGCAATTATTAGTATTTCACAATAACTAATACATAGAAGGTAATCTGTCGTTGTTCTCAATTTCATGCGTAAATTTAATGGAAGGAAAATTATTATTTAACTTAGAAATAAAATTATCTATGGTGTCTGAATGTGTCAAAAACAGCAAAAATATCATCCACATACCCTAAACCATATTCTTGGAAAATACTCAAACTGATACTTAGCCTCCACTTCAAACCTGCTCATGAATAAATTAGCCAAAAAATGGAGACAATGGATTACCCATTGCTACCTTCCCGCTGTTCAAAAAGTTGTTATTAAATTGAAAACAATTTTGTTTCATACATAACGAGGTAAGCTCAACCTGTTCAATCACAGTTTTGTTGTCGAGACCATTTGCGTTCAGTAATTTCTTCAAGTAGCCTAAAGTATATGTGGAATTGGAACACTTGGAACAACGAAGATACATCAAAGAAGACCAAATTTCACCTTCATGCAATATTATATCTTTAATTTTGTTAATGAATTCAATAATGCAACTGAGGAAGAAGGTTCATGATCAGGTAAATTTTCGAACTCCCTGATAACCATTTTGCCAAATTATAAGTCGGAGAACCTACAGCCGAAACAACTGGGCGCATAGACTTGTCCGGTTTATGAAATTTTGGCAAAGCATACAATTTTAATGAGGGATTGGATACTTGCAATTTCCTCTTTAAAAAAAAAGATCAATAAAGTGACCCATTCTTTTAGAGTTTTTTTAACGTCTGCTACCATCTTAGACAAAGGATTTTTTTTTTCTTTTTTCAAATTTATGTAGGGGCCATTATCGATTAAGTTGTTAACCTTATCGTAATAGTCTTTTATCTAATATAACAACCTTATTTCCCATATCAGCTTTTAGGTAGAAACAATCTTTTGTTACACCTTGACAATATTGTGTTAACTCCTTTTTAGATTTTAATGATTTACTTGAAACATTTCATTTTTTTTTGATAACTGATTTCTACAAGCATCTCTTGTAAATACTTTAGAAACCTCGGGCAAGTGCTGAATAGCAGTTTCAACACCAACGACGTTTTCCTCCAAAGCGCTACCAGAGTTGGGCAATGCAAACTTTAAACCTTTGTTTAATAAACTAAGCTCTTGTTTATCAAAAGTCTGCGAAGAAAGATTCTCTACTATGTTTATGTCTCTTTGGAAAATATGTTTATTTTAAGAGCTTTTTAATTTTTTAAACTTATTATTCAAAATTGACATTTTCTTAACAAATTTTCAATTGATAACCACAAACATATTTCTCTGAAAGAGATACCAACATTCATACTCTACATTAGTTAGCTTATAAGTAAGTTTTTTGTAAAGTCCATAGGCTTCAATTTCAAGCATACTTCGTTTACTATACAGAAATTTGATTTCTAAATCCAAGCCATTTTGTTTTGCAATTTTTCTCTAACATCACTAACGCTACTTTTCGGAATATCAACTTTAATAAAACTAGGATAAACTGAATTGGCTTTGCATGATTTAAGAAACCAAATATCTGTTCCTAATAACCTAATCTCAGTACTAAACTTACGATAAAGATTCAGTTCAGTTGACCGTGAAGCCATCAAAGATTACAGTTGAGGGTTGGAACCTTTGGTGTTACACGAAAAAATAAAAACACTAAATCACCACAATACACCAAAACACTTTTTACTTTTACACACTGGACGGGCGTTTCGCTAACCATGTTAACATCATCAGCAGGTGATTATAAACTAAAGTACAATCTAAAAGTTGAACGTTTATATACTCGCCCAACATGGTTAGCTTGAGGTCAGTGTAAAGGTAAAATGTTTTGTGGCTCTTGATACTGGCCACATTGCAACTAGGGTGTTCCATTTAAAAATCATTAATCTACTCACACTTTTTGAGCCACCCTGTAGAAGTTAAAATATTTTCGTGAGAAATACATCTTAATATACGTACTTTAGGTTTGCACTTAAACAACAAAACTTATATTATAGAACACATTTTTAGTGGTAGTAAAAAATAAACAACTTTGAAGTGAACATTCTTTACGCGCGCTGGCAATAAATTTAAATACCCAACAACATAAAATATATCCAACATACATAAACAGGCAAAATATATTAGGTCAATACTACTTACCAAGTATGGCGTGATCACTCTGAAAATGACTAGCGCCTCTCTGTCTCTTAGCATGGGTTTCTACCGAAATACCAGCTGTAATAAAAGCACAGCTGATGAAAAGCAAAACGCCATGGACCCAGTATATTTTCTTTCTTGGTAAATACAGAGTCAAGATGTTGTCTTCAGCAAAAGCTATTATCGCAATGGCCATCAGTGGAAGATACTGCAAATAACCAAGCACTTATTACTTATTTTATTCAAACCACCCAGAATTTATTATAGAATAGTATTTTTGGAATGGAAATTCTATGTCAAATCAGTCAGAGTACAAAAATACAGCATTTTATGTAGTGGGTGGCGCTTTTAGATATTAGCATCAGCAGATGATTAAAAATTTTTACTCAACTTATAATTTGGCAAAATGGTTATCAAGGAAGTTCGAAAATTTGTCTAAACATGAAACCTCTTTCTCAGTTAAAAACAATATAAGGTTTGTTCCAACCAGCATTCTCTACCGGGTGCGTCTCAAAGTAGCTAACCCCTATAGCAATTATTCTGTCATAATCTACTAAGCTTGCTTGAGTCCCTGCCCTTAAAAAGCAAATTAATTTTGTGTGGTGATCTTAATATTGACTTTCTTAGTGTATGTGCTGCTCAGGAGTTTCTTCAGTCCATTTTGATTCTTTTGGAATAGCCATGCATGTAGGCTCACCTACCAGAATATGTACAGTTCTAGTACTAGAGCTATATTTGGCGTAAAATCTTTTTGATCCTAACTCCATCGCCTGCAACGTCTTTTGCTCGGGTCTCTCTGATCATGAAGTAGTTTTAACTGAATTTTCGATGAAGACCAAAAACAAAAATACCCCTCAAGAATTATACCGTATTTTTTAAAGAAAGAATGCTCAAAGGTTCAGCCACTTTTGTAAAACAACCAACTGGGATACCAGCTCTTATGATGTCGACACCGAATTTCCTATTTTCATAAAAAGCATTAACCAGTCTAGCGTTCAAATCCTGCTCTCTTAGGCTATAAAAAATAAGCATAATAAACCTTGGACCACTAAAGGTCTACACATATCTTCTAAAAACATCCGTTCATTATCTCACTTAAAAAAGTTCTCAGACAGTCTCTTCTTCCACAATTACGTAAACTTATACAGAAAAAATTTATCCTTAGACTATTAGAGCCGCTAAGGACCTTATTATAATAGGAGAATAGTCAATTCTGGTAATGTTGCTAAAGAAACATGATCTATTGTGAATGAGTTGAGAAACAAAGCTTTCTTCATCTAGCAATATCTCTACCTCACCCGAGAACCTTAACGATTACTTTGTAAATGTGGCAACTTAGCTAATACCATACTCCTCATGATCCACTTTCTTATCTCTCTAATGATATTGTAAGCTTACACAGTTCTTTTTTCGCCGTAGTTTTAGAAGAGCTTCGCAGTACAATTATTACCATCAAAAATAAAATCCTCTTCTGGGACCGACGGGCTAACTTTAAAATGTTTTCGAATCTGCCAGAAAGCACTCTGAATCACCTAACAATTTTTAATAAACATGTCGTTTCCAAATGGTATTTTTCCAAAATGTCTTAAGAAGGCAATAATCATTCCTCTGCATAAGGAGGAGACAAAGATGAAGCTTCCAACTATCGCCCAATTACACTCCTTCCAACGCTATCTAAGATCATAGAAAGGTTGGTTAAAGAAAGGCTGGTATCTTTTCTGTTTAAGTACAAAATACTTACTGAATATCAATTTGGATTTCTAAGCAACAAGTCCACAAATGACGCTATGTTTTCCCTCCTTAATAAAGTTTACTCCAGCCTAAACAACCATCACTCTACAGCAACAATTTTCTGTGATTTTTCTAAGGCAGAATAGCCTTTCTAACTCAGAATATGTCATCCTAATGACATATCATATGTCAGCTTTTGACATTCTTGCTTAATAAAAAATCGTATTTTAAATTTCAATCTAGAGTGTCATGGCTATGTTAAAAACAATAATTTTCAATCAAGGGGCTTGCAAAAATAGATTTGATCGTCTAATGTTTTTAGTGTCCTAGTTAAAAGATGCCCAAATCGTATTTTTAATCATATCTCAATTTTTTCAAATGGAACGAGGGTGGCTCATTAGCATATTTGGAAAAAGCATTTTTTACGAATAATTTGATACAACTTTTCGTTACGAACCGCAAGTTAAAATTTCAAATAAACCATATGCAAAAATGTCAAAAGTTGACATATGATATGTCATTCTATTCAAAGTGTTATTTTCTATCTGACCCAAAGCAAATGAATACGTCAATCAATCCTAATTTATGTCATATACTAACATACCAAATCTCGTTTTTTTCACTGAAAAAATAAAAACGTTATAGGGGTGAGCCACTTTTGAGACCTACCCGGTATATCTATATAATATTTTCAAAATGAGCGCTCTCATTGCCCCTATATTTTGTAAAAAAGATTGGAGTAAAAATTAAAAAAATTATAGGGGTGAGCCACTTTTAAAAACACCCAGTATATTAAATGTTTATTATTTTTTATAATAAATATACTAAGTATATTATATACTTAATAAATAAATCCTGAAACTGGTAATTTTATAACTGATAGACCAAGAAATTTTATAATTTCTAATTTCTAATGCAAAGTTATAAAACAATAAAGATAGGACAATACAAAAGCATAGTATCAGCTTTTTATAAGATTCCTATAAGTCAATATTTAGCGTAAAACCCAGTAATTAATTATTTTATTATGATATTATAAATTAAAAGGTATTAACTTTTATTTAAAACGAAATATTTTGACTGACAAAAAAAGGTAAAACACGTATATTTATCCAATTGTAATAGTTTTGGTATAACTACATTCTTTAGTGCCTCTTACAATAAAAAAATTAGAATTTGAGCTTCATTTGCCGACTTACGGCGATTTCTTATGTAGTCATTGACACGCCTAGATTGGCTTAAGATGAAGTGGTAAATATCTTCTCAAGGTATTTTATTCCAGGCTATCAGAACTTTAAGAGAAAGTGCTGCTAAAGTATGCGGAGGGTAGTGCAGGTTCAACAATCTGCGACCAATCATAATCATGTGCATTACGGCCATCACGGTCTTTCTGCCGAGGAGCAAGGGGAAAGACACCACTTACCTGCCAAGACTTATCCAGGGTCAAAACTTCAATGTGAGGACATCGAGTTGGCGAGTCATCAACTCGAGGAAGGAGGGTCATGGTCAGGTCCGCACAAAAGGACTATTGACTATATCAAGTAAGATCAATATATAATATATATAGACTTCAAATCCGAGGAGGCAATAGAGAAAGAGGGACAACCAGAAGGGGAGACCAAGTTAAAGAGGTGGAGAAAATGGAGACAGGTCCTCGAGCCTCCACCTCACGGGTTACTCAACAGGAGGCAAGCTCCTCGACTGTGAAGGGAAGGGCGGCACGGAGGGCCAAACTCCAACCGTGGAAGGGTGTGTACCCTCGGAGGAAGAACTGTTGTCAGAGGAGGATGGGAAATACCCTATCCCCTCTACAACAGGGATTGTGTGATGACTCAAGGAAGGGGGGCACAATAGATCTTTAAGGTTGCAGTGATAAACCCCCCGTCTTACTCATTCTACATTCTACACACTAGGTCGGTAAGGTCGAAGTGATTATCGCCCGTCGCATACATTCTACATTCTACATGTGGGCTATAAGAAAAAAGACCGAAACGTGTATACGGCGATATACTCGTACTGTCTGTACGTATTTACATTTTGCCATTCTCTTATTGTATATCAAATCAAATCAAATCAAATCAAAATATTTATTATAAGTATATAAGTCTCAATCGGCAATCTTGTGTCTATATAGTTCCCTTGGCCGTCAAAAGCCTCCTCACTCTGTATTCTCAGCCTTCTTGTATCCATGGTCATTCAATAATAATATCCAAAATACTAATAAAAATCCTAATACACCAAAACAGGGTTTTAATCATCTGCTGATGATGCATGGTAACATGGTAAGCGAAACGCGCGTCCATTGAAAAAGTAAAAAGGTTTTAGTGTATTATTGTGGTGAATTAGTGTTTTATTTTGCTCTTCCAAGATCACTGAACTGCAGAAACTGCCGAATTCTACACACTCTAAGCATATCTATTAATTCACAAAAACCTAAATCACCTTGCAGCCACCACAAAAACTTAACAGATAAACGTGAAAAAATAACTTGTTCGGGCAAAATGCCTGGACGTATAAAAAATTAAATCGGATTATAGGGGTTTTACCTTTTTTCAGTCAGGATATTCCAATTTCTTAAATAATAGGAAAAATAATTAAAGTAACAATTGAAAAAAGGCGCTATCCATGTTGCGAAACATAATAATTAATACTAGCCTTTAAAATATGCAAAAATAAATTACTTACAGCTGCAGTGGACAACAATACATGCCAAAATCGTAAAGTTGTTCTATCATAATTCTCAATGTAGATCCATATCAACAAAACGCTTAAAAGTGTCAATGCCTGATGATAAATATAGTTTGCAAGCCATAGTAGTCTTCTTAATAATGAAATCTCTTCCTTTGCCGTCTTCCTTCCGACCAATGTTGTAGTTGAAACGCTTGTACCGTTTTCCATGTTGTTTTTTTAAAGAGAACTACCTTACACTATGAATTTTGACAAGACTTATTAGCGTAACACATAAACTAATATATAAATGTCACTGACTTGTTGTATGTTGTTCGATAAGAAGTTGAAAGTTTTATAACAATTGGTCGATGTTGTATATATAAACAGACGCTTGCATCTGATTGGCTGGCTCAAAATGATTGAAATAACGTTCATCTGAAGCATTATACATAGTATATTTAAAGGATTATATTTTCTATTAACTAAGATTATCAGGTATTTAAGTTATTTACTTTATTTAATTAATTATTTTAGATAGAATTGTATAAAGCGTAAGGAGCTTTCAAGTTTGGCTGCTAAAAAATTTACAACTTCCTGATGTATATTATTATTATCTGCATTTTAAGCAGTACCTACACAAATTTTTTGGGTTTTACTGAAAATTCCTTTACAAATTAGTATGTGGTACTAAATCTAATTCATAAAACAATATGGATTGTTTTATAATCCTATAGTATGAACTTAGAATAAATTCATCAAAGATATTTTATTTTTGGAAATGTATTTGAACATGTCGATTAGTATTTCGAATTGTGCTCCTTTTGGTGTAAGAATATTTTATACAGGTTGTCCCAACTTTGATATAGGACGACAAAAACATTTTTTTTTAAATGGCAAATCTATTTATCAAGTTACACATTCGTGTACTCCTCCAACAACTACCAAAAATGTACAACTTTGAGGAACGCCTCACTGTAGTATTGAACAATAAAAAAGAATGTAAGAGAGAAACGCTTGCTCAGCATGTAAGTGACCATATCATAACGTAGTATACTGATGCTTCCAAAACCAAAGCAGGGACAGGGATAGGAGTATTTGGGTCGAAAACTAAATACCCCGGCACCTGCCCCAGCATCCTTCAGGCAGAAATCGACGCTATCGAAAGATGCATACAATTTAGCTTCGATAGGAACTATCGAAAACAGGAAATAACCATCTTATCTAATAGTCAAGCTGCACTAAAAGCGATCAACTCAGTAACCATTAATTCGAAGTTGATCAACCTAAAGAAGCTGAACAAACTAGTAAAGAAAATAGTCAAAGTCAGAAGTCAAAAGTCAAAATGAGGCAAAGAAAATAAGGTCTTTCTGCTTTGGATGTCATCTAACCAAGGGATAAAAAGCAATCAAAGGTAAACAATCTAACTCCCACTAACAGGACCAGAACCGTTCTTCTTTCCAAATGGAAACAAACTTAAAGCGGAACTTAAGAACCTTTAAGGCTCCATCCGTAACCTGGAATGGGAATTCTCCAACGGTCTAACTTACTCGAAAAAAATTCTCAGAACTTACGACCGAGAAAAACCAAAGATTTTCCTTGATTTAAGTAAGAACAATCCTCGGATTGTCACGGGGTTTTTAACAGGTCTCCTCAAAGAACACGACCTCAGTAGATTGAAGCTAAGAAACAAAATGGTGAATGCAGACTCTGTGTGGAAAATGGAAAAACTAAATCACCTCGTCACTAAATGCGCCGAGACGACAACCATTCGTGCCATAAACATTGGTGCGGCTGATGTCGGAGATGGAGAGCTGACCTCTGTGAGACCGTCTCTGATACTGTTTTTGTCAAAGACCCAAAAAACTATATAAATGGAGACACACAATAGATCTGTT